AAGGCCTCCTCTCTAGTCCACATCACACGCCCTGGAAAGCAAGAATCATTATTGTTCTGCAATCGTTTATTCAATCTATTTCCCACACCCTGCGGCTGTATGCAGTTTGTGTTGACGCTTTCCATTAATTATATTATGAGACGCGTTTTTTCATCATTCTTGTGGAAAAGACAGGACTGTAGGTACATTATGAAATCTGTCCACACCGTGGTCAGATGTTGGCAGCAACCATGATGATTAAGAGGTGGGATAAACCAAAAATATTATCATGAGGCACTGCACAGCTTACAAGTCTATGCGCTTTGGGAAAAATGTCCAAGTTCTCAACACTAAACAAACACGCAGACTCCTCACTTACATTTAATTTGCCTACTGATTGACAGAAACCCACCGCAGTCAGACCACAGTATGAATATTCATGACGTTTTCATCCCTCTGTCTGACCTTGCTAAAACACATTCCAGAAAAAAAATAGGGTGTCTATTCTTCTTTTGCTCTTTTGAGTACAATGAGAAGGATTTTACTTTGGTTAGCTTTAGTAAAACTATAATTAAAAAAGTCCTGCAGCATCAATAGCTCTGCTCACATTAACATCAGTACAGCCTGAAAGCACTCTTTCCTTGCTTCCTGTTTTTGCCGCTCATACCTGGCTGTTGTATGAAAGTGAGTGTGTGGTCCTCTGTTTGCACCATGGCCCTGTAGCCTACAGAGTCATCTTTTTTCAAGAATGGCTGTATGTAGATCTGAAAGAGAGAATATAATTTACTTCTATTGTAAAGCCATTACTAACACACTACGGGGCACATTTACTACTAAAGTTGGCATAAAAAGAAAACGAAAAAAGTACTGTCTATATTTTCAAAGAAAGCCCAGAAACCAGCATGTCTTATTTTTTCCACATCATACTGAAATGAACTGACTGCACCTGTGTTTAGAAAACTCTGCCTGCTCTGAAAGGCCATAGTTCCCACAGTACCTCAGGAAAGAAAACTGACTCACTTTCTCTGGTTTGCCACCATTAGGATCCATAACGAAAATCAGTGTTGTATCTAGAAGTCTTCGTCCAGTTTCAGCACTAAAGAGGTTAATACTGCAGGCCTATGGGAAAGAAACAAATAATAATCTCCCAATAAAAAATTTTATTTAAAAAAAACAAGACACAAAAACCCCAAAACACACTTATAAGACAGTTTCCTGAAAGACATGAAAAAAAACCTTACAGTAACAAGTCTAACCTTTACATTAAGTAAATCAATATGTGTATTACGCATCTGCCTTCTAAAATCAAATGCATTTATGACTAAGAAAACAGCTAAAACACATCAAAACCCACACATAAATCTAAAGGTGAAATATTACTTTAACTCACAGTTTTATTCTTGGGGGACATAACAGCAGCAATGGTCTTCTCTCCAGTGGTTGCAAAGGAAACCAGCAAGGCCTACAACAAACAAAGGATATAGCTCTGTATAATACAACAAAAGACATCATGTTTCTGTAGAAAAACAATACATTCTACAAAATGTCACAGGTTGGAAAAAAAAAAAAAAAAAGGATCGTATTTGGCCGTTTTTAACAGTTATTATGTTTGACATTTTCCCAGGGCAATAAAATATTTTGGCAAGGATGCCAAGCCACATTTACATTTTTGCAGATATTTACTGATGTTGGCTGATATAGCAGAACAACTGCAATACCAGGACAGGCTAATGTTTTTGAATATGAAACAAAAATATAGAGAAAAGCTTACGTACTGGCTTGAAATCCCTGAGCGTAACTATCTGACCATTGTTGAACTGGAGAAGCAGGAAGTTATCAGGGCCGAGCTGAAGGAAGAACTCAGACAGAGGCTGATGGGCTGAGTTGGGCTGGTGAGACACCAGGACCGGTTGAAAGTCTGGAGCTACTTCAAGTCCCAGTGACTGTGAGAAGACAAATAGGAGAAGACTGTAAAAGAAAAACTGTGCATTTACAAAGGAACATATAAGAACACAGAAGTGGAGAGCTGAGAAAGAGAGAGGCAGAATTTAAAACTTACCCAATCTAAAGCAGAGGACATACATGGCAATTTTGTACATTAGAAAGGTTTTTGTTAGAATCATACCTGCAGGGGGATCTGGGTCATCTGTAAATCATCCATATTTGGGTTTAAGTTGTACATGTACAGCGATGGAGTTGCAGAGTCTACACAAATCAGCACCCCCTGACCAATCACTGCACAGCTGGCCACTATGTTGGACAGCCACGGAGCTTCAACTGAGATCTGAAAACATTACAAACAAGAAACTCACAAAAATCATTCTATATACTGACCACTGGTTCAGTGTTTAAGTTAGTTTGTTCTTTAACAAATTACCTATTTTATATACATTAAATTTACAGAGCATAGGCTGATTTTTTTAATACTATCATTAATAAACAGGATTACCTGCTTGATTATTTCTCCATCATCAGTGCTGTAAGCAATAATAACAATGTGGGAATGGGGAACAATTCCCAAAGCATAAACTTCACCATTTCCTCCAGAATAAACAGTCTGGTAATCCACAGTCTCACTGTGGAGAGAAACAGAAGGTGACAAACGTTTCATAATAAAACTACTGTTTTTGCAACACTGTGTAGTATTTTCTACAAAAAAAAAGCCTTTAAGGTGGTAAATGAATTCCTGTGTAGATTTATGTTCATTGAAACAGAGAACATCAGTACACAAAATTAACATTAATATAAAAACATACCTATCTGGTAGATTTTCTATCCATTTTTGATGGCCATTAGAAAGGTAATGGAGAGAGATAATGTTTTTTTCCAAAACAGCCACATGTTTCACTGTGCCTTGCTGTCCCACTAGACATGCTTTCTGGAAACTTGAACATATAAAAAGCAACGAGGTAAGATTTAATCAAATAAATGAATAAATAAAGACCATTCTTAACCTCAAGGTAATAATCACCTTCCAGAGTCGAGCACAATTTCCCAGTTCAAACCACCAACATTGACATCCCAGGATCGCAGCAGGCGGCCATTGCCAACCACTAGGATCGCATCTAGGACACAAACACAGTTTCATCAACTGGAGGAACTTTAAAAAAATCTTTAAACTTTACTGCAATTCAAATACATGATTAGAATCATTACAAAAAAATAAATCACCTTGTCCATGGTGCAAAAGAGCATCAATGTTTCCTTCGGGTCCAGACTTATCAACATGTCGCCAGACTGTAACAGACATTGATAACAAAGTGACAATAAAAGACTATACCTAATATATGAGAACTTCGTCTTTCAAAGGAACAACATACTCACAGAGTTCCCCGGTCCTTGTATTGAGTGCGGCAAAAACATTATTCTCTGTTGCTACAAGAACCTTTTTGGATGACTGTACATGTGTGTCAAAATGAGAAAAACGAACCTTGCCTACATACTGCTGCCTCCTGTGAAACATGAAGAGAAAGCACAAGCACTCAGACTGTCATCCAGCTCACCCATGATCATAGTGACACCATTGTTTTAATGACCACATGGATCCAATCCCGGTGCAAAGACATATTTCTCAAACTGAAAAGCCGAAACTACATGACACTGGTTTATTGATTATTATCAGATTGGCTACAACGTTTTCCTATTACCTTTAAATCACTTTCTATCGCGTTTCACTTGCTGAATTTAGTGGGACCAATGATTTACTTAATGTATAAACCATGGAGATATGTACACCTCCTGAAATTAACTACCAAATTTACATTTGTTTGTTTGTATTCATTCTGATGTGTTTTGACCTGTTCTCTCATTCAAAGTCCACCGATTCGCAGTTAGCTGCTTTGACAGGTGCTAACATTAGCATTTCCACATTAAAACATAATCGGCACACATTTGATCGTTCGCTTGACTCCTCTTACCAATCAAATTTTCCTACTTGGTCCTCAAACACAGCATCGACAGCATTGTATAATATGATACACTTAAGCCAAAGCAAAATTAGCTTTGCCATTGCTGCAGCAGCTCTGACTTGCTCTTCAACGGAAGGAGGAAGTCGGAAGCCGAACGACTTCCTTTTTGTTCTGCGATGGAGAAGTGCTGCCCCCTAAAGGTTGTAAAGGTTACAGCGTCGGTCCTGGTAGTGACCTTTCAGATTAACAAATATTCATGGATTGAACCAAATCCTAAACTGAAAGAAAAAAAAGAAAGCAGATCACTATTGAAAAAAATAGTGTAAGACCGAGATTAATTCATGTGTGGGAAAATGTGTGATGGGATCAAGTGACAGAAACACAAATGATAAAATTTAAAAATAATGGTACCACAGGGGATAATAACAGGATTCAGGTGGAAGACAGAGGCTGCACCCCGACACGTTAAAAAAGCGAAAAATAAAAACCAATTAAATAAAGAAAAACGAAGAAGATTTGTGTATTTAATATATTTTATCTATTTAGCAGTGCATTCTAGGCCTTGTGTGGTGCAGTGAGAAATTAGACAATAAAATATTTATTTTATTTTATTTATTATATGAATTAATATTTACTCTTTTTTTTTTTTACTTACTTGATGATCTTGGATAAAGTCCTGTTGGCTTTTTTGGAATCAAAAGGTGTCGTATTACTATATCCATCTATCGTTATACAAGAATATTAACATATGTGGATGAAAGTCACATAAAGTCAAAAACTTGATTATTGGTTTGTTGATGAAGTTAATATTAAAACAATAAAAAGATAAGTTAAACGCGGTAAAACAAAACAAAACAAAACAACCAATATGTAAGTTTTACTACTTGTATATGTAATTATATCACAAATGAATGAAGGGGAAAACATCGCTTTATTCGTTCCTGTAAAATGGGAACTATATTATTATACATAATTTAAAATGGGTTTAGAAACAGTAAACCAGTAAACATTTCGAGTGAAATGTTGGCAGGGCTGGTATCAGAGTGAGAGCGCCCCCAAGATTTACTTACACCACAGTTTCTTCTTCCAGTAACTAGTTTTTTCTGTTAGGATTTCAAGATGGCGTCGAGCGGAGGAGATGGGGAACACGAATGGACAGCGGCAGTTCGGCCGCTTTTATCAGCTTCGTACACTGCTTTTGAGACGAAGGAGCTACCTCAGCTTATTGGGTCTATAATCAACAGGTAACCGGTTAATTGTCAATAAATTGCAGGTTCATATTTGCTTGAATACTGCCTGTGTCCACCTAGGCGTAGGCTAGCTAGCTAAATTGCTAACCCTAGCTTGGTTAGTATAGTTGGATGGGAAACGATACCCATTTTGCTAACGTTAGCGGCTAGCAAGCTATTTAAGCTTAACTTGCACTGGCATGGAGTCAGCTCCAGACGTTAGCTGATATGCTAATGACAGCTAACTTACTCAAAATGCTATTTAGCGTTTCCTTTCTGCTGACTACAGAGTTTGAAACAACGCACGTCTTATGACTGATGGACATTTATCTTTAACGTAATGTCAGCGCTGTGCAAACGTTAAACGGTGTCGCAGTGTAAGCTTTAACAAAATTGCTTCATCATTAGCTAGCTAACACAAACATTAGCCGACAGGCTAACTCGGGGGGCCTTCCAACTGGACTGGCTAACCCTCAAACGCCCCAGCCAGAGTAATATTTGACTACGTCAGCTGACTTAATTGGGCTAAATTCAGCAACACTTGCATTATGAGGCGTAATCTGGGCATGTCATTAGCCAAATCACGCATTATATGGGTGGCAAAAATAGCCAGTCTGCCTAACGTCATCTGCTTGTGGTTAGGCTGGAAGTAGGCGGGGGACCTTATCTCTCCACTCATTTTTGATCAGGTGATGGTGGGTTACCGTCAACTTGTTGTTAGTAAAATTGTTATTTAGGGTTATTGCTTCTAAGACTTGTACTTTAGGTAATGCTGAATGGTTCTGCTTAACCACAAAGATGCTGGTGCAAAATGAACTTGTTATCTCGTTACAACATTCCCACCTATTTATGTTCTCATAAAAGTAGGAATATGTGATATTAGTGCTTTGCAAGTATTGTTGAATGATTTATTTGATTCCGTAGTTTTCCCTTGATTCTCTGTTTGTGGCGTAACATAAGCTAGTACACTGAAATAAAAAGCTTCCTAGTATGTCTGTTGGTTTCGTTTTCCAGTGCAACAGGCTGTATGCAAACATAACTATTACGAGGATTGAAAGTAGTGTTGTGTAGTTGAATTATCCTATTGTGCAGTTTACTATAATAAAAAAAATTAAAATAAAATAAGACTCCATTATCTATGTAAGTATTGGATAAAATGTTTCTTTCTTTCAGTTATGTAATTGTAACAAGCCTGCTTATTAGAGGCCCCAGGTGCTTATGTAAAAGTACTTAAAAAATTCCAACCACACCAAAAGCCAGTTCCAATACCAACAGCATAAACACACCTTGTTTCCTTACATCTCAAGTCCTAAAGAACTATTTCATTCTGTGAAGACAACATTGAAGAAGTAGGCTTGAATTGCTAAAGCTTAAATGGCATACCACGAGTTTGACCATACTGAGTTTGGTAAAGCTGGGTGATAGGTTTATAAATTTTGTGTTCTCACTGTAGCACACTCTAGCACAGATACCAGAATGGCCATGCTATTGCAACTTGTCAATAGCATGTTAGCAATAGCATTCATTTTACTATTTTAATGCTTTTTTGTGAAGGTCATGATTGTTTTTTGTGAAGGTTCAATTAATTATTGATAATATTGACTATTTGTTGCATATATATTGCAATTGATTGTGGTTTGATATATGAAATTTATCTTCTTTTTTTTTTTAAATTTTTTTAACTGAGACAAACTAATGCTCCTGGGAGATGTATCAGAAATGTTAATTAGTTAAGTCACTGAGGTGGTGTATACTGAAGAACAGTAATTATTTTGATGCTAACTTTTAACCAGATTATAAACCATTTAATAACCATTAAACCATTTTATTCTTTTATTTTATTAAAGGGTTGTGTTGACAAAATGTGTAAGAAATGTTAATGGATGGATGATAATAAATTATAATTATAAGAAGTCTGTTTTAAAAAGTTGAATTAATTTTTAAGACTGAATTCTTGCACAAACACATTGGACAAACTGTAGGTAAGCAAAGTTTACATAATTGCAGTGCCTCAGAGGAATCAATTTCACAATTCACAATGTAATGTCACCATAGCAACAGATGGAGCTGATTCTGTCTATATTTTAAAAGTAAGGCTGCAGTCAGCAGCTGTTTTCTTTATTGTTACTTGGACATTTAGTATGGCAGTTGATTTGATGTACATCATGAGAGGTTGCCATCTGTTTAATGTGACACAGCAGAACATGAGATTGTCCCGTGAACACTTTAACTCCCATCTTTGCACCTCTTACTCTTATTTGCGTGGAAGAATTAAGACACTAGTTGAGGAAAGGAGGAGGAGTTAGATCAAATCCACTCTGTGTCACTGTCCTATCTGTATTCTCTACCCCCTCCCCCCAAACAAACTAAAACAACCCACTATAAATGTTGTGTAAAAAGTCATATTTCCTTTGTTTGCAGTGAATCAGACATTCTTCACCACGACAAGCAGTATGAACCTTTCTACTCATCATTCGTGGCACTCTCAGCACATTACATCACCACAGTATGTGGACAAAGTATGTGTATTTCATTTTCTCCTAAGAGTAATAGACAAATTACTGCCACTCACTGACAATGAGCCAGAATCTTTCAGTGAAAACTGTTTTGTTGCTAGATGTTATTTTTGTTCTTTTCTTTGTTTCTACAGTACCAAGAAATCAATTGCTGTCAGTTGCTGCAGCGTGCAAAGTATTGATCGAATTTTCATTGCTGCGCTTGGAGAACCCTGATGAGGCATGTGCAGTTTCACAGGTAAGTGAGACAGTCAGCAGGGTGGGTGTAGTCAATTGTAATACATTAGTGTAGTCATTTCTAGTTATCACTGATTTGCATTTTCTGGTGGTTTTCTGCTTTCTATTTGTATGGAATTATGTATTGAAATAAAAAAAAATTGTTTTTCTTTAGAAACACCTGATCCTTTTAATAAAGGGACTGTGCACTGGCTGCAGCAGACTAGATCGCACAGAAATCATTACTTTCACTGCTATGATGAAATCTGCCAAGTTGCCTCAAACCGTCAAGACACTTTCAGATGGTAAGACTCCATAAAGGACAAAACTGAAAAATGCTTCACTGTCCTGGTAGACAACATGAATAAGTTATATGGCCAAAACTGGAAATTCACTGCATTCACTGGAAGGATTTGGACATTTTTGGTCTATTAGTTTTCTATATACTATAATTATTCAATGAAGCTGTGAGTATTTATCTGCCTGGGCTGTCACAGAGGCCCTTTTGATTAACAGCCTTGACATGTGGTGAAACTCTTGTGCCATTTTTTTTCATTTAATAGTGGAAGATCAGAAGGAGTTACCCAGTGCTGTGAACCCAGAGCTTCGACAAAAAGAAGTACAAATGAACTTCTTTAATCAGCTGACATCAGTTTTTAACCCTGACCTTACCACCATCTTGGCCTCTCCATCAGCAGCACACATGCAGGCAAGTATTAATGACCCAGCTACTCTCGATTGCTATTAGCAGAAGTTACGCAGCTTCTGCTTTTGTTCCCCTTTCCTTTTAAATTAATTTTGTTAGCTGCATTTAAAATAATATTCTGTCACTGTATTGTTGAAAATTATCTTTTGTAATCATTGCATCTCTTGTTAATTACAGGCTGAAAGTGATTGCGATGAACAAAATACAGATCAAGCTGTTCAGACCAAAATGAAAAATGCCTTTGTGTCCCAGAATGTGTCAAGCTTACAGGAACTAGGTAAGTAGTTGTTCCAAGAGACTGGACCTTTGACACTACTATATACAGGTCAGGGTTTAAAAGTTTTATCGCAGCTGTTGAAAGATGGGAGACTAGAAATCTTGGGTTGGTTTTTTTTTTTTTTTTTTTTTTTTTGAAAAATATCTGTTTAGTAAATGTCACCATTAAGTCACACTATGATGAATATACTTCAATAATTGATTTTCCATACAGGAGTGTGTATATATACACTGTGAGTGGCTGTAATCCAGAATTGAGTTTGTTTTTTCCCCCACACATCCATGTGGAAAATGTACATTTTTTCCCCCCTATTGATTCAAAATGTCAGATGGTCCCTTGTTTACTTTTCACTCTTGAAAGCACGCTTGAGCTCTAAATTATACGTAACCTTGTAAAAGCACTTTTTCCTTTACAAATTGCAATGAAAATTTAGTTTCTTTAGTAATCCTGCCATTAATTAATTTAAAATGAAACTTAATGAGTTATTATTTGATTAAATTTTTGATTTAATGTAATTTTTCCAGGTGGGTCTGAGAAGTTGTTACGAGTGTGCCTCAACCTGCCCTACTTTCTACGCTACATCAACCGCTTCCAGGATGCTGTATCAGCCAACTCATTCTTTATCATGCCAGCCACAGTGGCTGATGCCACTGCTGTTCGCAACGGGTATTCTTTTTTTTTTTCTTCTTTAAATCTACTGGGCTAATAAGAAATTGTGTTTAATTTTGGCATCTGGCCATTTCACCACTGGCCCCAACATTAAGTTGTTATCCTGTACTTAAAATACATAGATTTCACTCACTGGTGATAGATGTGACCATGGCTTTGGACACACTTTCCTTGCCTGTACTGGAGCCCTTGACACCAGGACGACTACTGGATATGACTGTGCTGGCTCTAAGCTGTCTCTATGCTGGTAGGTGGTTACATTTTTGGTTAAAATAAAACATACCATGTGATTCAGGCTGCTATAACATTCAAAAACCAAACTAAGGAAAAAAACAAAACATCTACAATGCGTTTTTACTTGTTTAGGTGTAAGTGTGGCCACTTGCATGGCCATTCTACAGGTGGGTAGTGGCTTGCAACTTCGCTCTGCCTCCACTGGTACCAAAGAAGAGGACTATGAAAATGATGCAGCCACAATTGTCCAGAAATGTGTAAGTATTATAACTAATCACTTTTAAAAAGTCTTTAATTACTGTCTTACTAACATGTATATTTTAACAAGATTTAAAAAGATGACATATATTTGTCTTCACAACAGCTGGAGATTTATGAAATGATCGGACAAGCCATCAGCAACTCTCGCAGAGCTGGAGGAGAGGTGAGTACCAATTTTGATTGATATATTGCGCAAATAGAAGAATAAATATATATTTATAATTGACAGTCCTAGACTGTCAGTTATAAGTTAAGTATTATGACTGATATTTTTAAAATTCTCTCTTCTCTGTTCTGCAGCATTATCAGAACTTCCAACTGCTTGGAGCCTGGTGCCTCTTAAACAGCCTGTATCTGATTCTTAACCTGAGCCCGACAGCGTTGGCAGATAAAGGAAAAGAGAAGGATCCCCTGGCTGCTTTGCGTGTCCGTGATATTGCAAGTCGCACCAAGGATGGCGCAGGGTCACCTAAACTTGGTCCTGGCAAAGGGTATTTTTAAATCTTAATAAAGACAATTTTAGTTCAGTAGGTATGCTTATGCATAAAAGGTCATTTGTGTGCATTAATGTTTTGCCTTTTTCTGTTTTGATCTTTTTTGTTTTCCCTCTCAAGACACCAAGGCTTTGGGGTTTTGTCTGTTATCCTGGCCAACCATGCAATCAAACTTTTGACTTCACTTTTCCAGGATCTGCAGGTTGAAGCTCTGCACAGAGTAAGTGAAGCAACAAAAAAATGTGGCTGCATTAAAACAAAACTGCCATTGTAGCCATACTGTACTTGCCACTGCTATCGCTGGTTTCAGATGTCACAATCGTTTGTAGGTTTAAACCCTCTACTGTAAAATTGAATTAAATACTAATGTAGCTAGTTACATTCAAGCCTTCATCTCTTGTTTGAGGAACCAAAAGAATTTTTTTTTAAATTACTGTACCTCAGTTAAATCTTCATGGCTTCATATTTAGTATAAGTTCCTTGTTGTTTTACAAGATTGCATGTTTATTTAAAATTAGACGCACAGATTTGAAAGTTGTTGTATTTTTTGTTTGTTTGTTTGGGTTTGTTTTGGTTTTTTTGTTTTTGTTTTTGTTTTTTTTAGCATTTTCATTCTTTGTTACCCTTTCAGGGTAGGAAATGAATTCAATTAATAAAAAATTCAAAAGCATCCAAGTATGCTTCAGTAATTACTGAAAGTATTTTGTGTTCCTTAAAAGCCGTTTCCCCCCTTCTGCCAAATCTAAAGGGTTGGGCAAGTGATGGACCACCGGCTGAGCTCAACATCATGGCACAGAGCACTTCCAGCCAGAGGGTTCAAAGACTCATTGACTCTGTTCCCTTGACAAATCTGCTCTTCACACTTCTCTCCACCTCCTACAAAAAGGTGCTGTCAGTTGTATTTGTAATTTGCATTTGCAGTTATGCTGTTTTATTGATTTGAACATTAATTGTGATATTGTGATACAAAAGAAACAAGCAACAGATTTTGTCTGGTTCATTTTTATCTTTGTAGTTTATCCTTTTTTATCCCTTACAAAATTAGTGGATGTCTAGATGATTATTTATTGAAACCAGCCATTTTCAAATGTAGGTATACTGCAGCTGACTTCTCGGGTGAATCCTGGAAACTTTCTGTGTCCCAAACAAACTTTTAAACGTTGACTTTTATTTCATTTATCTGCTGTTAGGCTTGTGTTCTCCAGCGTCAGAGAAAGGGCTCAGTCAGCAGTGATGCCAGTGCTTCTACAGATTCAAACACCTACTATGAGGATGATTTCAGCAGTACAGAGGAGGACAGCAGCCAGGGTATTTATTTTCTTTGGATTCAAACAATTGTTTGTTACATAACGTATGCATTTACATAGCAGCTCAGTTATGCAAATAAAGAGACATACTGCTCCCTGTGTGCTGCAGACAGTTTTTTCTTAAATCCTGGGTTTAGGAATGCAGATGATACTCTCAACAATTCAGACATTGTTATGCTACTCCTGGATTGATTAATAAAAAAGCAACAACTTAAAAAATACAGACAATCCACTGAAAAACAGGGGATTACATTAGCATGACCATATGTATCTATATTGTAATTATGAAGCACTCTACTTTTGCAATTAATATATACAAAAATGCAATTTATTAAAATATATTGATAATTTAGGGTCAAACTTTCTTGCATTTATGGACAATTAAAAACAAAGATGTTGTCATCTAGCTTTAAAGGTAAAGGGGAGACACATGAACTCACCATTTAAGGACTCAATTCTGTTTTAACATAGTGACCAAGAAGTGTTGTTTCATTCCTACAAGGTATGCTTCAGGTTTCTCTGCATCACAGTGGGGATTCAATTGGTGAAAGTAAAGTCACATATATTTTTACACATTTCCATTTGATCTGAGTTTCTGTCAGTGCTGAGCTGGATAAGATAACAAATGCAGTATTTTCAGTATTTGGGAACATTTTTAAATTGGTTTAATTGAAGGAGTGAAACAAGTGTGCTGTCAGTGGTTAAGTCAGTGAGGTAATGACAGCAGTGCGAAGGGTAAACTCATACATACGCTCACAGTGATGTGATTTAAAAAAATTTTGTCCATCACAATAATACCAGTGTAGTTGACAGTGTCTACTATTTCAGCAGAGAGAAGACAGGAGAAGACAAGTGCAGCTTGTGTCTCAGGTTAGCAGTTTTCTGTCCTCAGGTCAAAGACTTGGTGTCCGCTGTCCTAAATTCATTTTTGTTATTGTATGTCTCACAATTTAGACTCTGAGCCTTGATCCTAACGGCCTAGAAAATGATAAAGCCACAGATGAAGTCTTTGACAAAATACTCCCTGTTATCAGAGTTTCTCTGCCTTATAATTCATATGAACTAAATTAAACTTGTTTTATCAAAGAGGTTCATCTGTGGCTTGTTGTTTTAAAGAATAATACCAGTGGTGTTGATATGTGGGATATTATTTAAACTATTAACTACTGAAGCTTTCATTAAAACTAGTTAATTATCTGAATAATTACACTAACAGTTACTGACAGAAGTCATAAAACATTTCTCAGTGATTTATTTTAAGAGCTTTACCTCTATTACTTTATCATCCTTTTGTCTTCCAGTTTCTGCCTCTTTCCTTTTTCAACAGCGACTCCAAAGAAAGAAGTTTGTTATAAGATAGCTGCTAATAGTAATGCTTTAAAAGTATAACATTTATTGCTGGCCTAATGACTTTTCAGGTCGTGGTTGAAATTAAAATTAAACAATTTTCAGTATGGTAGAAAATTATTTTTGAAATTGGCTGTGATACTACAAAATGATAAAATCCATTTTACCCCCGACTCTTGAATCTATTTTAACACAAATGAGGATAAAATTGTTAGAAAACTTATTTAAAAAAAAAAAAAAAGTGAAAAACTCTTGATGCAAAAATAATCAAGACCCACATCAAAGCAGTGGTATCATTCTTAAATACAATAAATTCAAGTTGTGCTTAATGAGCTTAAACACGCAATGCTACATCTTGCTGTCACCTGAAAAGTTCATTTTTGTATGTTGCATGCAGATGTGAATATCAAATTATTGTGATATTCTTTTGAAACACTAAAGTTGTCTTGTTTTTGTATTTGAAAACTTTCAGTGTAGTTGAGTGATATCACCTTTTTAAAGAATATGAATGTTTTGTGCATGGTAAGTGCACAGAGCACAATGAATCAATGAAATTTGTGGCTATAAATTTAAAAACATTATGGGGAAGGATCCAGAGCTAATATAGATGGTACACCCATGTAAACTAAACCAGGCAGTACCATCTCTCTAGATTGGTGCTATTAATTTGTCTCCTAGCTAGAGCTGGTTGGTGTCAGACACCTATTAGTGTTCACTGAAACCAGCCAGGTCAATGCTGCTCTGTTAGGAATTTTTTTTTTTTTCCTCCATAGCTAAGCAGAAGAGTTTTACAAAGATGAATGCGTCTTATTCTATTCATGAACTAATTTTTTCCTCCAAGGCAGGGTCTAGGAGAGACTGCTCAAATTTGTAATTTGTTTTGTTAACTTAAACGCACATTCTCCAAAAAGTTGATTCTGTTCATCTGGACCTAGCGTTTTGTGGGAGAAACGTTTCGTCACTCATCCAAGTGACTTCTTCAGTCTCAGCTGACTGCAGGTTTCCCCAATCTTATAAACAGTGCATTTGCATAATGACTGAAACCAGCCCACTGAAGGAACAATGGGCTGGGAGGTCAGTTCCTTAATCTTAATTATGCAAATTCTCATAACCATTGATCAACAACCACTGACCAAAACCCACTGATCAAAGACCACTGATTAATGGCCATGAGTACCATTCACAGACAGTTGGGGAATGGCTGCAATCACAGCATTGTAAGATATACCCTTAGGCCCCCTCCTCGATTCAGAGATGGTCTTTCCCTTTTCACGTAAATGGCCTCCTTGACTCCACTCTCAAACCAGCGTTCCTCCCTGTCCAGGATGTGTACATCCTCATCATTGAAAGAGTGTCCACTGGCCTATAGGTGTAAATAGACTGCAGAGTCCTGGCCTGACGAGGTAGCTCTTCTGTGTTGTGCCATCCGCTTCGCCAGAGGTTGTTTGGTTTCCCCGATGTATAAATCCTGGCAATCCTCCTGGCACTTAACAGCGTACACTATGTTACTCTGTTTGTGTTGGGGGACCCGATCCTTGGGCCGGACCAGTTTTTGGCGCAGCGTGTTTTGGGGTTTGAAAGCCACAGAGACCCGGTGTTTAGAAAAAATGCGTCTCAACTGCTCCGATACTGCTGACACATATGAGATCACTACAGGTTTTCCCTTGGGCAGCGGTTGTCCTTCTCTCCTGGATCGACTGGCGCTTTCTTTAGGTGCCTTTCCAGCTTTGACAAACGTCCAGCTGGGATAACCACATTTACTCAGGGCCTTTTTGATGTGATGTTCTTCTGCCTCCCTGGCCGCTGTGTCTGTGGGGATGGTGTTCGCTCTGTGTTGTAGCGTCCTAATGACACCCAGATTGTGCTCCAGCGGATGATGAGAGTCAAACCTTAAATACTGATCCGTATGTGTAGGTTTACGGTAAACGTCAGCTTTTAGATGTCCCCCATTCCTGATGGAAATCTCACAGTCTATGAAGGCTAACCTGCCACTCTTCATATCCTCCCTGGTGAATTTGATGTGTCGGTCCACCGAGTTAATGTGATCCGTGAAATGTGGTACGTCCTGAGATTTGATTTTCACCCAGTTGTCATCCACATATCTGAACCAATGGCTTGGTGATGTTCCAGGGTAGGATAGCAAAGCCCTCTTTTCCACTTCTTCCATGTACAAATTGGCCACGATGGGTGAAACTGGGGAGCCCATGGCACTCCCATGTTTCTGCCTGTAGAATTGACCCTTGTATGTTAAGTAGGTGGAATGAAGACACAGTTCCAAAAGCAAACACACTTGGTCGATGCTGAGATCCTGGCCCTGAGGTTGGAGTCATCCAGTAATCTCTTACGGACTACCTCCAATGCTTCCGTGACTGGGATGCAAGTGAAGAGAGATGTAACGTCGCAGGGCGTGGCTCAAGAGTTGGGAGTTCGCCTTGTAATCGGAAGGTTGCCGGTTCGAGCCCCGGCTTGGACAGTCTCGGCCGTTGTGTCCTTGGGCAAGACACTCCACCCTGCCTACTGGTGGTGGTCAGAGGGCCCGGTGGCGCCAGTGTCCGGCAGCCTCGCCTCTGTCAGTGCGCCCCAGGGCGCACTGACAGAGGCGAGGGTGGCTGAGGCGAGGGTGGCTGAGGCGAGGGTGGCTGTGGCTGTGGCTACAATGTAGCTTACCATCACCAATGGGTGGATGACTGGATGTGTAAAGCGCTTTGGGGTCCTTAGGGACTAGTAAAGCGCTATACAAATACAGGCCATTTACCATGGTTTCATCTGCCTCCATAATGACATCTCTCACCTTCTCAACAAAATCCAGGGTGTTCTGGATGTGGTGTTCAGAACTGCCCACCAGCGGGTTGAGGATCGAAGCCAGAAACTTGGAGACGTTATAGGTGACCGAGTTGATCATGCAGACAATCGGTCTTAAAGGTGCACCCTGTTTATTTATTCTGAAGAAGTCACTTGGATGAGTGACGAAACGTTTCTCCCACAAAACGCTACGTCCAGATGAACAGAATCAACTTTTTGGAGATTTACTTCCCTGGATGATTGAGAATGCATCAAGACGTTAAACGCACATTGACAAAGTGGAATGAAAACCCAGTGGGGACTATTATGAGCAATGCCGTGCCTATTCTGAACCTTAGTGGAACCTTGTGACATCTGTTAGTTGTGGTTTGTCCTTGACAAGCATGCTGTATCAATAAATAAGAGCCACGAACTTGACAGCAGTGCACTTCAAAAAAGAAGATTGATTGCATTTGTCATCAACAGATCACATCTGTTTACATATCCTACAAGGAATAACATAGCTGTCACCTGAGTTAAATCAGATGGCGAGTAAGGAAGCCATAGAGACTCTAACTTTCTTTGTGGTTAAGCTGAAAGCGTTGGACTGAAACTATTATCAATAGGTCTTAAAAACCTGCTTTCAAAGAAATTACTCCTGTATCGTACTGCAGGCTGAGCACACAGAATCAAAATGCCTGTGAAACAATTTTTCAGTGTAGAAAATGTCATGGCTCAGCAGGTGAGGGAAGCAGTTGAGCTTGAGTTGGCGACCTATTAGAAACACAAGATTTAAATGAGTTTTTTCCCCTCATATTTAAATTCAATGTTTGTTATATAGGTGCTTTTTTTTTTCTAAATTCTTACTGTGAATTTTTATTTGGTAGAATATGAATTTTTCAAGCTATCACTGTAAATTAATGTACAGTATTATGTAGTTCTAGGCTGTGTGACAGTCAGTCTTATATTTTTGCACCAAAACATTTAAAGAGAAGTGTGCACATTTTATATTTTATCATATTTTTGACCGACTGACATGTTGATTGTAGCAGTGTTTTCTGCAGAAGGTGTAATAATGCATCCTCACGCTCTGTTCAGCACATTCAGATTCTAAGCAATCTGAGAATAACGTGTGCTTTATGTTCAGCTAATTCTAGCATTGTTTCTTATTTTTGCTAGAAACACACAAGAATGTATAAAATGTGTAAAAATTCTAATGCAGCACAACTTGGAGCTCATAATAATATAAATTAATTTAAAGGAATGATTGTGGCTTTCCTCTCCACCATCTATGGTAGCTGACAAACTGCAGCATGTCTTTTGTTACTAGCAGATTTACTTCCACTTTGGATTGCACTTGTCTTATACAAAGATAAAAATATAAATCAATACAAATTAATATGTTCATGTATTCTCAGTGACAGCAATGAAAAGTGCATGTCTTTGAAGATAAATTGTGTAACATCCTTATGTAGATATTCATCAAGAGGGAACTGGTTATTGTTTGCTTCTTACTGCAGTCTTTGGATCTTGTTCACCACCTTCACTGTGTTGTACACTCACTGGCCACTTTATTAGTTACGTCTTGCTAGTAATAAGTTGAAAATTTCCTCATTGTTTGTGACATGGAAACAGCAACTTGCTAAAAATTTTAGTCCATATTGACATGGCATCATATAATTCCACATAACTTTTTCATGCCTGGCTACACGTTTTACTGCTTCTTTGCAGGGTAGTAATGTTTTGTTTGTTTGTTTTAAAGCAACTGGCAAACAACATGACATTGTTGTCAGGCAGCATATTTTTAAGATCATGACAATTCCAAGTACACAGGGGCTCATAGTGTGGTTAAAAGAAGGCCATTATACCACCACAAAAGGACCAAATGGTCAATAAATACACTGCGAGCACACTAGCAAATTGGCCATGGGGAGAGGATGGTGTTACTCAAGTTAACCTAAAGCAGTCAACCTCGGGGTAATACTGAAATGCGTTTTAAGTTCTACCGTGTGAGCGGTTGAAGTTTGTTTAAACAAATGGTAACTGATGGCCAGTGTCCAGTGAGTGTAGTTGCCATGAACTATTGTGAAGCTTTGTTTTCCTTTTATTGGTGACACCACTGCTACATCACAAATACTTTCATGAATGTGTGAGCATTTTACCTCAAGATGTTTATGTAAATAATTAACTATTCTTTACAGATGATGACAGTGAACCTATCCTGGGGCTTTGGTTTGAAGAGACAATTTCACCAAGCAAGGACAAAGTGGCTCCTCCACCCCCTCCCCCTCCACCACCTTTGGAGACTTCTCCCAGACTGAAGAGCCCCAGCAAGCAAAATCCAAGCGAGAACGGCAACATTTTAGCTGGCCGTAAAGATCCCGAACTGGTGAAGACAACATATAGATTGTTGCTGTTACAATGCATACAATACTTCTTCTTTTTTTTCTTTTTTAATAGGGCTTATGACATTGTATCATCTCAAATCTTTGTTTCTGCAGTTCCTCAGCTTAGCATCCAGTATTCTGAATTTCATCACCACCTCGATGCTAAAATCCAGAAACAACTTTATCCGTAACTACCTGAGTGTGTCTCTCACAGAACAACACATGGCTACGCTTGCCAGTATCATCAAAGATGTGGACAAGGATATCAAAGGTATGCTTAACAAAAAACCCCCAAAACAAACAAAAAAAATTGCAGTTATTCAAATATAAGAATATTTACCTAAATTCATAATAATTTGCTTTGCAGCCCTGCAGACTTGAGTATTTTGACAACAGTGAACATCTATAGTTATGCGTTGTTGTTTCTTTTACCCCACAGGGTCTTCAGATGAAGTCTTTTCTTTAGCACTGTATCACTTCAACCACACCCTAGTGACCTCAGATCTTCCCTCCCCAGCATTGCAGGTAAGAGGTTTTGCTTTGCTTTCGTTTCTTTGCCACTATATGAAAAAATCTTTTAACAACTACTTTCTACAACAAACTTAAAATTGATTTTTTTTTTATTATCTCAATTCTCATATTGTTTCTCTTAACTATTTGCAGAGCACCCTTTTACAGCAATTAGGTGTTGCACCCTTTTCGGAGGGTCCATGGCCTCTGTACATTCACCCTCAATCATTATCAGTGCTCTCCAGACTTCTCCTCATATGGCAGCACAAAGCTACTCTGCAGGGAGAACCGGATGTTCCTGAGTGTATGAAAGTTTGGGAAAGGTAGAAAAATTCAGTTTTTCTTATCTGAATATTTATTATTATGATCAAATTGTTTAAATGCCTTGACGCTGCAATCGAACTTAGATAGTATGGTTGTTGGCATTTATGAAAAAAAATGGTGGTGGCTTGATGGGGGCGACTTGTATAAATATCCAATATTGTAGTCAATAACAATGGAATTATTGTTTGCAAAAACATCACAGTTGTAGTCTAGCTTAGTCTTCCATACATTTCTCTTTAATCTGGATTTTTTTTCCCTTTTGCTGCCTGTACTTTCTCAGATTTTTGGGAACCTTAAAGCAACACGCCATCCAGGGTTCTATTCATGGCGAAGATGACCTTAATGTGGAACACCTCCAGCTGCTGCTGCTCCTTTTCCACAATCTGTCAGAGCGTGGTCGTCGATCAGTCCTCACCTTAGTCACACAGGCTATTACAGAGGTGGCACAGAGCAGAGACTCCCAGCTGAAAGCTGTGCCCCTCAATTTGGCCCGCCTGTTGCTGGTTTTTGACTACCTGCTGCGCCACTACTCCAAGGCTCCTTTATATCTTTTTGAACAGGTTAATGCTTTCTTTCAAATTGTTATTTATATGGTAAATTGAACAATAAAGCTTTTTCTTTTTTCTTTTCTTTGTTATTTGATTTCCATTCATTAGGTAAAATATCGTCCTGCAAGTGCATTAATCTGGGTTCAGAGTAACATAAAGATGTCATTATGATTGTAATATAAGGCTAGTTTAGTATAAAACATACCAGGTCCTATACCTAGTAAATTTTTGCTAAACATTCTAATAACACAGTATTGTGTTTGGGACTCAATAACAGTGTTTACTCTGTGTGCTATAAATAGGTGCAGTACAACCTTCTTACCCCACCATCTACTGGGGCAAGTTCTGTTCAGGAAGGTGGAAAACGCAGCAACATCCCACTTTACTATGGATTCAAAGAGGTGGAGGAGAACTGGGCTAAACACTGTTCGACAGGTAAACCCAAATATTTTTTTAACTAAATTTCAGTTTAATCTGTTTGTAGTATATGAAAATTGAATTTTATCTTTGATTAAATGCAACTGTTTTAGATTCCAATGTCCAGCCCAAGTTCTACTGCGTTCTGTCTCCTGAGGTGTCTGAAGATGATATCAGCAGACTAGATAGCAAGGTGAGGCATGGACTCTGTTTTATGTGGTCTTAAATGAATTTTTGACAATACAGTTTAAATGTGTCTTAAAACATGCTTTTTATTTTATTTTTTTGTATATAAATACTAGGGGTGCAACAATACTCGTATCGGTATTGAACCGTTCGATACAGTGCTTTCGGTTCAGTACGCATATGTATCGAACAATACAAAATTTTTTCTTTATTTTATCAACTTTTCTTCTGACGATGCTGTCTGTGTTGAGAACTCAGTGAATCTGCGTTCGACTACTCCTCCTAGGCTGCACTGTCGAGCGCAGATCCGCTGAGCACAGCGCAAGCTAGCAAGACAGCTAAGCTCGTTGCAACATGGCAACTGCCTCAACGCTAGCCGAATTTTAACCTCCCCCACCCTCATTCAGATCTGGCGTTTGGAACTAGTTTGGTTTTCATGTGAAGTATGACCCTGATGGTAAGCGCGTCATGGACAAAAGTAAAACAGTATGTCGGATGTGCCATGCAATGCTCAATTACATTGGTGGGAACTAGTGCGTGCGTTAGCTCGTTAACGTGTTGACGCCATCCAGCCCCACACACGGGGCGATCCGCGGTAACTCATTAATGGAGATTTGCCGCGTTATGGCGTTAATGTCATTTTAACGAGATTAACGCTGACAGCACTAGTGGGAACACAATGAATTTGACTGCACATTTGCGCCGACATCATCCTAGTGCAAAGACAAGTGGAAGCAGACAAAAACAACAAGCACGCATGCTACAAACTTTACCCGAGTCATTTAGACAGCCGTTAGCACATGATTCTCCTTATGGGGACCTGATATGTTTAATATGCTGCTGAGAATATAGCCCAGAAGAAGCGTATAGTATAGCTTTTATTTTGGAAAGAGCCATTTCTCTGTAATAAACTCTCATTTCCAAAGATGAGTGATTTCTTGATCAGATAGATTTCTTTTTTAATTATTTTGTTGTTTCTGCAACAGTAAATTTAAAAACTGTACTTTTGAGTTAAAATATATATTTATAATTTTAATAAATGACAAATTAAAAAGGCATGAACATCTTTTGCATCGAAAAAACATCGAACCGTGACACCAAAGTATCGAACTGAACCGTGAATTTTGTGTATCGTTGCACCCCTAGTAAATACCAGTATTTCTGTTTTTAATCACAATATTTTATCACAATATTAAAATTATTGCCATGCCTAACTGTTAAACATGTCCTCATAGGTCTTTCCAAAGCTTTTTAATGGAGCAGTGAAATATGATGAGCTGTATATATGGCTCATCTCACTCCTGGCTGCAGGCTCTCAGTTTGACACAGCAAGAAGACAAGAGAACAAGTCCATCACTCCTATGGTGAGAGCACCAAATGAAGAAATAGAACAGCTGAAATAAGCCCACTGAGCATATGGCTTTAGTGGTTTATCTAAAAGGCATTAAACACCCACGTGCTGCAGGGCTTGTGTTTTGGTGCGTCTTTCTGGTTAACTTAGAAATTGATCTGCAAACAGAAACGTGATATAAAAACCCTTTCTATAATGATGCAGTCCTTTTTCTAATTGTTCACTGCTACTGTTGACTTCAGTGACTGGTTTAGTTGGTTCAGGTGATAGAGGAAAATGCATATTACATTTTTGAAAATAGACCAATAAGAATAAAACAAAATAAACAAGAATAAGCCACATTGGAAATGTTTATCTGCAATTCTAGAGACAAAAAAAAATGATAAACACATGCTAACAATATTGGCCAAAAACAAAGTTAATATCATCACTGCAGTAAGGCAGGACCTACAATAAATGTTATTCTAAACTGCTATATTGTTGTGTAAGTAATTTGAAGAGCTAAGCTTCAGTTTCTGAAACATTAGAGACTTGTATACATAATGATACTAGCTTAATGGCAGCAAACTGTTGGGCCCCATACAGGAGGCCTGCTCCCTTCAGTACTACTTCCTGATATTGTGGAGGATCCTTGGCGTTTTACCACCTTCCAAAGGCTTCATGGAGCAGCTAAAGACTGGCTGCAGTGACCCCAGTGAGAGCGACATCCTACACACACTGCGATGGTCATCACGTCTCCGCGTAGCTACGTATGTAAACTGGATCAAGGTCAGTTGATGCTTGAAAGTCCTACAAATGTATTATCAGTGTGATGGGTTTGTTGTTGTTGGTCAAACCTTAGAATAATGTACTTGATTAATTCATAGGGGGGGGGGGTCTGGAAATTGTTTGCTTTTTCAGAAAAATTTATATTTTGTATTATTTCTGCAATTTCAAGTCTTTGATGGGTGTTTTTTGTGTGTCATCACTCACAGGAACACTTGGTAAAGCAAGGAATGAAAACAGACCAAGCTGCTTCTCTGGTTGAAGTGACTGCTGCTAAATGCAGCACTGTGAAATACGATGTGGAGCTAGCAGAAGAGTACATTGCCAGACAGGTAATGGTTACGACAGATACATTAGTAACTTGTGTTGGTGGTGTTCAGAGTTTTGAAATCAATTGACACCTCCTGACAACTTTATTTTGTTGCAGATTTCCACATTCTCAAGTGTAGACCCACATGTCATCCTACCACTTCATCAGTTGCCCTCTCTACAAGCCATCTATACGCTGGATGCAGTCATCTCTAAAATTCAGGTTTCTTTAGATGAGCATTTGTCCAAGGTTGCCATTGAGGCTGACACCCACAAATCCTCTGAGATCGCAAAAAATCTGCTGCCTGCCACACTACAGCTCACTGACATTTACTCAGCTTTCACAAGGTGAGAGGGTAATGTTGTTATAAGCTCTTGTTATATCTAGTAGACTGGAATGCAATAATGTGATTGAAATGCTTGATAGATCACATGATCATGTGGCCAATCACATGGCCAGTTCTTTGGTTACAGATACTCAAAATATTGACAAAATCCAGAGGTCATAGCTTTGGTGACTTAAGTTACATTTAAATTATTACTATTATTATTATTATTATTATTATTTTTAATTCCACCATATTCGTCAAAGCCAACATTTTGCAAAGCACACATCTACTACATGCACGCTACATAATTCTAGTATCCATATATCTGTTACTTTATATATCTTTTACAGTTTATCAGTATTCTAACACCACTGGCATGTGGATATTTAAATGTTGAATTTATTTAGAATTGACTGTAATTGCTAATGTAAGCTGTTTTTAAAGTTTAGTTTTAGTGAAAGCTTTAGTAAAAAAAAAACCCCAAAAAACAAAACCCCTCCGTTACCTTCAGAATGCATGTGTGCTTCAATTTAAGGAATACAACTTAAGGAACCTTAAATATTCCTTCTTTAATTTATATATCATAACATGTTTTTAAATATTTCTAAATCCTTTGATAGTTTTTCTAATTATTTGTTTAGATTTGGAATGTAGCCTACTTCATGTCTAAGAAATAAGACTTGTGGATGATGTTCTTTATGACAACTCATCCTGATCTAATCATTAAACGAAACTTGTCTTGAACAGATCTTACCTATTAATGAACATCCCAGAGGAAGGGGAGAACAAACTGACCGATGCCAAGCTCCAAGGTTATGCTGCAGTTCTGGCCATAGGTTCCACCCGATGCAAGGCCAACATACTTGGTATCCAAATGAAATACTGAAAAATAATATTTTACAATGCAGTGAATATGATTACTTTAATAGCTTTTATGCAGTGGTCTAACAAGACTTTAAATTTCTACAGGTCATAATATTATGCAGAACTTGCCAACAGCTGTGCAGACAGTTTGTGAGTCTTGGAATGGTGTCCACACCACTGAATTTCCCAACATTGGCTCATGGGTATGTGGTTAAAGTTGGAAATTATTAAAACATTTGTTACACATGGCATAATTTTAAAAAACATTGAAGACTTGGCTTTTGCCTGTATTTTCCCACACCATAAATAACAAAACTGGTGGTATCTTTTCAGCGCAATGCATTTGCAAATGATACCATTCCATCAGAGAGCTACATCAGTGCCATCCAAGCAGCTCACCTGGGCACACTGAGTTGTCAGTCCTTGCCTCTGGCCTCTTCTCTTAAACACATCCTTCTCTCACTGGTTCGCCTGATTGGAGACCTCATTGTGTAAGTTAAAAAAACGTCTACTGATAAACTCTTTTGCATGCATAGTTTTTACTCACGAAAAACCTGTTATTGTCTTGTGAATAATGCTGCATTATTGTCTCTTCAGTACTGAGGAGCTGAACCCCTCACAGGTTGTGAGCACCCTGCTGCCTCTGCTCTTGGAGAGCAGCACGGAGAGTGTAGCTGAGATCAGCACCACTTCACTGGAGCGCATCCTTGGCCCATCAGAGTCTGAGGCCTTTCTAGCCCGCATCTACGAGCGTTTGGTGACCGGATGTTACAACATTATTGCCAATCACTCAGATCCCAACAGGTATTTTTAATATGTATCAGATTTCATTAACCTTTAATGAACCATGTTAAATATTAAAATTCAATCAAAACATTACTTTTTATGCTTTTTTTTGTTTGTTTGTTTGTTTTGTGGGCTGCTCTTCAACATTTATCTATCCCATTTTTTTTTTTTTTTAATATTACTTAGTGGTTTGGATGAGTCCATCCTTGAGGAATGCCTTCAGTACCTTGAAAAACAACTTGAAAGCAGTCAGGTCCGAAAGGCAATGGAAGAATTCTTTTCATTCAGGTATTGTCTCTGCTGATGACACAATCTGGCTTCTCATTCATTCAGTCACCTCACATATTTTGGGTTTCTTCTTTTTCAGTGGTGAGCTTGTCCAAATTATGATGGCAACGGCCAATGAAAACCTGTCTCCAAAGTTTTGTAACAGAGTGCTGAAATTCTTCACCAAGCTTTTCCAGCTCAGTAAGTCTGTAATAATTTTAAAACTATACTGTCCAAGTTTGGTTATATTCAAGCTTTTCAAGGCAGAGCTCTTTGAGCTAAAGCTGGAGTAGATCCCTCTAAGTTTCATCATGCATTTTTCTCCAGCGGAGAAGAACCCAAACCCAAGCCTGTTAGGCCTGTGTGGCTCTTTGGCCCAGCTGGCCTGTGTGGAGCCCTCTCGTCTGCAGTCCTGGCTGACACGTATGACTGCTACCCCACCAAAGGACTCAGAACAACTGGAAATTGTGCAAGAAAACAGACAGCTTCTGCAGCTGCTAACCACTCATATTGTGCGTGACAATAGCCAGGTGGGCGAAGGAGTGTGCACTGTACTCCTCAGCACACTTATTCCCATGGCAACAGACATGCTGGCCAATGGTGATGGAACAGGTTTTCCTGAGCTCATGGTCATCATGGCCACACTTGCCAGTGCGGGACAGGGTGCAGGCCACCTCCAGCTGCACAGGGCAGCTATAGACTGGCTGACTAGATGGTAAGAAATGAATTTTACAGGCATGGAGATCTAAGTTTCAGTCGCATCACTAAAGAAATCTAAAGGGTGGAATTATATAGTTGCTACAGCCAAACTCGCTAGGAAAAAATGCTTGGTTTAAGCTCAATTTATACTTCTGCTACGAATCTATCCAGCAGCTATGACAGCAGCTACACCCTAGGGTGTGGCTTTATGTACACATCTCCACATGTCTGATTGGTTTTCCTGCTGATTGCAATGTCATCTTCTTTTTGTAACTGTATTTCTTTTTAATTATTTAAGCTTAAATCTGATGTTGTTCAATTTCCATTGGTAGGAGTATTCAAATAAATTTAGCTCAGTAGCACAGAAATCTGAGCCTCAAGTAGCATTTTGGCTGTGTTATTACATGTTATAGTGAAAGCTCTCTGTAGATTCAGTGTGGGAGTATAAATCTAGGTAGAAATTTAAATGGAGAACTTGTGACCTAAAAGCTTATTTTTTGTTTTGCAGCAAAAAGTATTTAACACAGAAGAATGTCGTGGAAAAAGTGAGCACAAACTTGTCTCATGGAAAGGTGGGTTTTTCACACACTGAAGTGAATTTTGGACATTTCCACAGAATGAGATTTTAATTATGCCACACTTGTTGTAGACCTATGATCAGCCTTGTTATTTGAGAATAATATCGTCACCTCTCTAAAGGTTAAAGACCTTACGTATTCTTTGTTTTGGGAGTGTATTGCAATCTGTGGACTTTCTCTGTGGAAAAAGAAAGGATGTCCTTCTTTGTTACATTTTATATTAAGAAAATGTAAAATCTCTTCAAGGTTAAAATCAAGTGTAAATCATACTATTCTGATTTGATTATGAATTTACTACCACATAGTTGTACATCATGTCCTCTGGTTGTCTGTGTGCTTCTCATACCCCATATTGGACAATCAGAATGAATGATAATGAAACTGGCTTTAGGCAATTAAAGGAAAACACTGTAAAAGTACCAATTTGCCAAAGTATTTTTCTGTGATATATTACATTTTGAAAAATGGCCCAAAATGTGTCCCCTGCAGTTCAGATATTAACATATCTAAATATCAACTGATATGCACTTCTTCTTTGATTTCAGCATGCCAGCATGCTGGAATGCTCATGTCACATCATCTCCTATCTAGCTGATGTGATGAACGCTTTGCGTCAAAGCAGCGGTCAAGGCAACTCAGCAGTGCTGATGGAGGGAGAGGAAAAGGCCATGGAAGTAGACTCAGACTGGGTGGAGGAACTTGTAGTAGAGGAGGATGATTCCCAGGCAGAGGACTCTGTAAGAAGTTGTTCTTTTATTCTCGTCTGTCTCTGTGTGTATGGACTTACAGACATACATCAGTGCTGTTTTTGGGCTTAGCTTTTATCTCTGTCAGTTTGCTATATGAAACAATCCTTTTTAACATGTATGTCATTGTTTGACAGGATGAAGACTCACTTTGCAACAAACTTTGCACTTTTACCATCACTCAGAAGGAATTCATGAACCAGCACTGGTAAAGAAAAGTTTGTTTATTGTGATTTTGTTCTAATCTTAAGTGCAGCCTTTGGTTCCAAATACATCCGCATTACACCTAAAAATGGATTTGTCATACAGTACACGTTTGATTATTTCATTTGTTATTATTCATTTTTTACTAAGAATAAACAAAAAACAGAAACTCATATATTTAGTAGATTGCCTTTATGAATCAGAAAAGCTGATGGTGTTTCTCGAATCTGTGGAAACGGGAGGACTCCACACTGCTGAATTACGATGGAAGACAAAATTGCATACATTTGTAACATTTGTAATGTAATTAGTGTTATGTACCTGGAAAAAGTAACAGTGTGTTAGCAACATGTAATATTTTCTATGTGAATTTTTATTTGTTTTTTGACTTGCTGTGAATATTTAAGGATACAGAGGGCAGCTATAAAAGGTTAAAAATGCCTTAATTCATCTAGAGCCTCTGTGGTGTGTAAATCTAACCGGGCAGCAACATATTTAAAGCTTGTCTGAGCTGAGTTAATCTTCTGGAAAATAATCTCCTTGGTTAGCTCTGGAATATGAGTAATTTTTAATTAATTTATCTGGGAATATTTAGGTGGTAGCATGATCAAATAGCCTTCTCTTGTGATATATCCATTTAGACATGGAGAAATACAGTGTCATTCTTTAGTTTCTCACATGATGTGATGTGCCATGCTATATATAGTATTGCCTATACTTTTCATTCTGCAGGTACCACTGTCACACCTGTAAGATGGTGGATGGGGTAGGTGTGTGCACAGTGTGCGCCAAGGTCTGTCACAAAGACCATGAGATCTCCTATGCCAAATATGGCTCTTTCTTCTGTGACTGCGGTGCCAAAGAGGATGGCAGCTGCCAGGTGAGACCGAATACCTCAGGTCATCATGGGAAGAGAACAACAGCGGTAACTTTAGCTTGCAAGTCATTCCCCCATTGACCTCCATCCAGTCATTTCATTTGATTAGGGTTATAGCTAGCCCACACATTTGGCCAGAAAATGAGCAAAATCATGTTAGGAATGTCTTTTTGTCAACTTTTTGTGTACTGAACAGGTCAGCTTCCCTAGTTAATCTTAAAGTCCGTGTAAAGAGATAATTCAAGGTTTACTTTGTATAAATATAAAAGTCTTTGAACCATCTTTTACTGAATTTTGTAGGTGTCGTATAATATTTTTTATCTGTGTGGTTTATAAAATATTTTTTATGATGTGACAAACATGTTTGTAACCACTTTACACGGACTTTAACAAATTTTTTTTATTTTTTTATGTGCATGTGATGAGCAAGCCATCAATTACATCTTACCTTTAGTTTACGGCGTAATAAGTACGATAGGCTTTTAGCTTTTTTGTTTTGTTTTGTTAGTGCGATGTTTTCCTCACTATCAGTGTTGTGATAACATTTGCTCATAACAGTTTGGTTCACTTTTTTATAAATGTTTGTTCCACTTCTGCACTTATACGTATTATCGGTTGACATTTACAATGCATAAAGGGGAGCATAAAGAATCATTTAAGTATACATTTATATTAATATCAACTTTCTCCACTTCTTACTTTGTGTGTTGCATCATTCACAGGCCCTGGTCAAACGCAGTCCCAGCAGCGGCATGGGCTCTACTCTTAAAGAGTCTTCAGCTTTCCAGAGTGAGCTGCGTATTCCTGAGAGTGCTATTCGCCACCAAAATTCCTCACCGTCTGACAAGGGCAAGGTCACCATCTGTGATGGCAAATCCAGTGATGAAGACAGACCTAAGAAGAGCAGCGTGTGCAAGAGCATTGAAGGCTGTCAAGAAGAGCTGCTAGCACAAGTGGTTAGAGAGAACATATTAATTTATTTTTATCTGTCATCTCCTAAAACCGTTAAGAGTTCTTCTTTTTTATGTGAAAAGATGTTGTGAGACTTATGTTTTTGCCCCTCTTTTATCATGCTAGATGGGGTCATCTACTGCTGCAGTCATACTGGAAATGCTCATGTTTCTCATGGAAGCTATCCAGACCAACTTCCAGCAAGCATCAGCAGTGGGAAGCAGCAGCCGGGCACAGCAAGCCCTCAATGAACTGCATACTCAGGACAAAATTGTGGAGATGACGGACCAGTTAATGGTATCATGACCCAAATAGATTGCCTGTTCCAGTAAAACACTTAATTCATTGATAAGTTATTAAAACTTAATTAAAATAGAATTCTATTATTTACCTGCTGCATTTCATTGTTAACGGCTACTTTTTCCCTTCAGGTCCCCACACTTGGCTCCCAGGAAGGAGCTTTTGAGAATGTGCGAATGAACTACAGCGGTGACCAGGGGCAAACTATACGCCAGCTCATCAGTGCACATGTCCTGCGCCGTGTTGCCATGTGTGTTCTGTCTTCCCCCCATGGACGGCGTCAGCACCTGGCAGTCAGCCATGAAAAGGGGAAGGTAAACTAAACAATAAGTTCCTTTGTCCAATTAGAAGGGCTTTCATTGAATTCTTATTTAAAATATATGCATTGTTATTGATTCAGACTTGCCTGTGAAACGGAGCATCATGACAAGGAAAAAAATCTACACTCAAATGAATAATAGAATAAAAAACATTCCTCTTTCTATGTTATTATGTTTTTGTGTTTTTTCTCTTTGACTTTTTTCTTTAAGTTTTCTTTAAGTTGTTTGGTATGTTATCAAGATACTTTGCAAACTATGAAATAAGAACAGATAGGGAAATCTGTGTTTTCACTGTTAAAATGTCTCAACCTGACTTTTTCTCCATTTCCTATCTGGCAGATAACAGTCCTTCAGCTGTCTACTCTCCTGAAACAAGCTGACTCAAGCAAAAGGAAGTTGACACTGACCCGTTTGGCTTCAGCCCCAGTCCCATTCACTGTCCTTAGTCTTACAGGAAATCCCTGTAATGAAGACTACCTGGCTGTGTGTGGCCTTAAGGTCAGAAACGAGCTGCTTCTTGTAAAACAACTTGTAGAGTCAAAAGAACAGTTGCTGTAGGAATTCGTTAAATTTAACTATCTTGTTTTTTTTCCTTTCATCTCTTCCCAGGACTGCCATGTACTAACTTTCAGCAGCACAGGTTCTGTGTCTGACCACCTGGTGTTGCATCCACAACTGGCCACTGGCAACTTTATCATCAAAGCTATCTGGTTACCAGGCTCACAGACTGAACTTGCCATCATCACTGCTGACTTTGTCAAGGTATATATTAAAATAATAAACATATTTTGCACTTAAAGCAACATAATTGATTTTGTTTCTGCAATTTCTTTATGAAAACAACCATAGATACTATACATATACCTTTCTGCCCTAGGAAAACAAAAGATTGCTTAATACTGCCTTTTAATGCTTGTTCCCTTTGGAAAACAGATCTATGACTTGTCAGTGGATGCCCTGAGTCCAATGTACTATTTCCTGCTCCCAAGTTCCAAGATTCGTGATGCTACATTCCTTTTCAATGAAGAGGGGAAGAACATTATTGTCATCATGTCATCAGCAGGTTACATGTACACCCAGGTCATGGATGAATCTAGCAGTGCTCAGCATGGCCCTTTTTATGTTACAAATGTATTGGAGATAACCCACGAAGACTTGAAGGTAACTAGGATTTGACATGAGTTGATGTTGTGACAAGGTTGCTGTCTTAATGGTCTCCAACAGGGGTGTCAAATGTACGACCTTCGGGCCACATTCGGCCCACAATACAATTATATCTGGCCTGCAAGGTATTTTCATACGTCAGTTATTAATGGCTCGTCAGCATGGGGGAGCTAAATCTTCAGCCCTGCTGAGAATCCATGCAAGCAGGGGTGGGACTTTATTTTGATGGGCACACCATGCTGCTAATCACATGCAAAGACAGACTGCGATCAGACCATTATGTGAAAAAAGGAAAAGGGGGCAGAAGTTCCAAAAGCAGCAGGTTTAGTGGTGTGCCAAATCATGCCAGAGTACAAAAAATGCTTAGCTATGTCTCTAATAAAACCTCTGTAACTTTGTGAAAAATAGAAATGTTTCTGTTTTTCACTTTCTGCTATAGAATTATCAGGGGTGGGGGCTACAGGCTAATTAAAGGCTAACTACAGGCTAATTTTGTAACTTCTTTACACTGACCAATTTCGTTGTACTCTGTACAATGACAATAAAGGCTATTCTATTCTATTCTAAAAAGGGGAGTTTCACTGGTCCGGCCTGCTTAAAGTCAAAGTGGGCTGCATGTGGCCCACGATGTAAAATGAGTTTGACACCCCTGGTCTACAGTATTTCTGTCATACTTTCCAGCTCTCATTTCTTTTGGGGGAATGTTTGGTTGATGTGTACATCATACCTTTATTCAGTGTTCAGGTGTTTTTGAAACTACATTAAAGAAAGCAGTTTTGAGGTAAATTCTTTCTTTGTAAACACAGGATAGCAATGGACAGGTAGCTGGCGGTGGTGTTTCTGTCTATTACTCCCATGTCCTTCAGATGCTTTTCTTCAGCTACAGCCAGGGGAAGTCATTCGCTGCCACAGTGAGCCGCAGCACAACTGATGTGCAGAGGCTCTTTGCCATCAATGTGAAAGGGTAACACAATAAAATAGTCTGTAAAAGCCTATCAAATATAATCGTAACTGGAAAAGAAAATTATGAACAGAAATATTTTTTTTCCCATTTTGTCTTTAAAGCTCCAATGGTGGCAGCAGTAAGATGTCTCCTGCACTGTGCCAGTGGTCTGAGGTCATGAACCATCCAGGCCTTGTGTGCTGTGTGCAACAGACAACAGGCATACCTCTGGTTATCATGGTCAAACCTGACACCTTCCTCATCCAAGAGATTAAAACCCTGCCAGCCAAAGCTAAGGTAAATACCATTTACTATTGTGACATGAAACTGGTTAGGATACCATGAAAACAGTAATTGGAGGAAAAAAAGGAAATTCCATTTTGGAGTACAGAACTGTATAAACACAAAGCTTTTCCGGTTGTCTTGTTTACTAAGCAAAGTTATTTCCCATGAGTTTACCTAATTTTACTGTTTTCTAAGGTTAACATTTATTTGTCGGTTTCTGTCAGATTCAAGATATGGTAGCTATCCGACACACTGCCAGTAATGAGCAGCAGCGCACTACCATGATTCTTCTATGTGAGGATGGCAGCTTGCGAATCTACATGGCAAATGTGGACAACACCTCCTACTGGCTCCAGCCCTCATTGCAGCCCAGCTGTGGCATAAGCATCATGAAGCCAGTCCGCAAGCGCAAGGCCGCTGCTGCCAGTAAGTTTGTGGACAAGGGTTATTTTGTAAATGCCAGTTATGTATGATGAATGAACAGCTTGTACTAACCTGTTTATTGCTTACTTAATATTTGCTGATATGTTACTGATGACACAGATTTGTAACCTTTTCCATAAATGCCCGTATGTTTTCTGATTTAAGTTTGCTTATTTTAAATTTTTCTTAAAATTCAAAGTGTAATTCATTCACATTTTCAGATCATGTTTCTTGTGTTCATTCTCCATGTAGCCAGACATACACAATAATAAAAGCAACTAGTCTAAAATTTTGGGGAGCTAATTTGAATGTAATGATTTTACTTTAAGCCACCCGGACTTCCAGTCAGGTGACATTCCCAGTGGATTTCTTTGAACACAACCAGCAACTGACAGAGGTGGAGTTTGGGGGTAATGACTTGCTGCAGGTCTACAACGGACAGCAGATCAAACACAGGCTCAACTCCACAGGGATGTATGTGGCCAACACAAAGGTAGAGGCATTGTACCTTAATGTTCTGTGTTAGAAAAGGTGTAAAAACATTGCTCTGCTTCTCTCTTGTAATGCAGGTTATTGCTGCGTCAGCAGTGCTTGAGTTGATAACCATGGTGCAGCAGAGGGATCTTTGTTAATTAAATTTTATGTAAATGTAGTTTAATGTTATCTGCCATCACTTGTGTTGAGACTTTGCTGTCTTTGCCATCTACATTTGTGCAGTTTACTATACCAGAGTACATTAGTATATGTCCAGTCTAAATCCAAGTGACCCTGCTTTAAATAAAAACAGTGAAGACACCTATTCTAAACATGTTTTTCAGCTGTAGTCAAGAAAAAAAGATGTAAAATAACAAATGTCATGTTTCTTTTTGCTTTCCTTTCTCTTTTCCTTCATCCTAGCCTGGAGGGTTCACTGTAGAGGCAGTAAACAACAACAGTTCAATGGTGATGACAGGTATGCGGGTTCAGGTGGGCACCCAGGCCATTGAAAGGGCTCCTTCTTATGTGGAGGTCTTTGGACGCACCATGCAGATAAATCTGACAAGAGCTCGCTGGTTTGACTTCCCCTTCACGAGAGAGGAGGCCCTGCAGGCTGACAAGAAGCTGTCTATATTTAGTAAGATCAAGACTGTGCAGTGGTTATACGTTTTTTTTTTTTTTTTTACTACTTAATGGTTTTTCTTGTTGCCTGTATTGATATTCCAATACACGTGTTTAAATAATTTGCGCTGACCTGTTCATATTATTTGGTCATATGGTCATATGCTTCAGTCTGTTTAGATAGATCTTCTAATACACTGTCTTGCTAATTTTTAAGTTGGAGCATCTGTTGACCCAGCTGGAGTCACCATGCTTGATTCAATTAAGATCTATGGAAAAACCAAGGAGCAGTTTGGCTGGCCTGAGGATCCACCAGAAGACTTCTCATCTGCCTCAGTTAACAATGTCTGCAGTCCCAGCCTCAACCAGGGCAATGGGACCTCTGATGGAGACATAGCCACCCCAACAACAACTAATGGCACTGTATTAGAGAGGTATGAGCTTTTCAATTTGGGCTGCGAAAAGGTCAACCCAAGTTGTTGGCATTCATTTTTTATCCCCAGGGTTGAATAAACCACTCCTAATGAACTGATGAGCAAGTTGACCATCATCTATTAAGTACCTTTTAGAGATGGCACGATACCACTTTTTTATGTCCGATACCGATATCATAAATTTGGATATCTGCCGATACCGATATGAATCCGATATAGTGTTTTTTAATCAACAAAACTGTTTTTTTAAATATCTTGCTGCATTTTGTATAAGTTCATACTCAAGTTTAAAACAACAACTACACTAAAGCTATTCTGTTATACCTGTATGCAAAAAAAAATATTTCATAGTTCAGCAATACTGATCAATCTAATAAACTCAAACCTACACCATCCTCCCTATTCTGGTATTTTAAAGAGTGCTTAGCGTAAATATTAAGCAACCTTACTAATAGGGTTCCAACTCCCAGCAACAAAAATAAATAAATAAAAAATAGGGAACCACCCCTCACGCTCCACCTCATGATGCTTAATCGACGTAATCAACCTTAATTTGATGCAGTGTGAAAAAAAAATGCACAGAAATGAATTATTTTTCAAGAAATATTAAATAGATTCAACATCTTTCTTCAACAAAATTGCAGACTGCACAGATGGTACCTTCCCAAAGGAAAAAGTACTATAGCTTACTAGGGTATATATATTAGACTTAATAGTTACTATATACAGTAATTGACTTCTATTCATTTTACATCAAATTAAAACTTTGGGTGTCAGATAATTATTTATTAAAAGCTAGACATTTTAAATGAGAATAAGAAAGAAAAGTATGTCTTTGTGCCCCCTTTTCCCTGTTAATGCCCTATCGGCCCCCCTGGCTAAACTTTGCTAGATCCGCCCCTGCACAGTTACCAGCCGTCAGCTACGTAGAAAAAGATCCTCGAGTAGAAAGTAATATTAAATAAATTCTAACAACAGCTTATCAAGCTTAAACGTGCTGCTGTTGTTCAGCCGCTGGTTTCCTCTTTCTGGTGCAAAGTGGGCCAAAAACAAACAAGAGAGACGTACTCGCGACAGAAAAGCCAACCAGCTGATCATTAAGCAGTTTCATGATTGAAGTAGCAGCAAGAAGAGGCAGTCGCTTGTTAAGCTTAATGCAGGAATGCTTTACATTCAGAGATGGACTTACACACTTGCTTTACTTCTCTCGGGGATAACTTTGTCGGAGATGAAATGCCGGGTTGCTAGCGAAGCTCCACATGCTATCCAGACCACCGACAGGTCCTGCATGCCACAGCCGCTCTATCACGTGATGCATACTGCTCCGACGTGCTAACATTCTGAGGCGAGTTACGGCGTGTTGCAAGTTTTGTGAGATGCTTTCGTGATATTTAATGGATCGGATTACATTTTTTATTTTTCTCCGATATCCGATTCAGTAATTTAGGTCAGTATCGGACTGATACCGATACGTAATATCGGATCGGTCCATCTCTAGTACCTTTATATAAAACCTCTCGGTAGATTTGTTGGGTTCAGTGTTTCATCATAACTGTTTTTTGGTCCATTCACTTGACAACGAAATGTTTTCTAAAACATTGTTTTATCTACATTTCCTCAGTTTTGTGTGAAGATGTATATTTTGTGAAAAGCGCAATACATATATTACCATAGATGTGATGTTTTTTAAAAATTATTTTAACTCGTACTACATTTTATAAGCATGTATTGAATACAGCTGTGTAGTATGGGTTGTTGGACACAATCCTGAAATTTGAGCAGTAGCAGTGAGCTCTCTTTAGTGTGTTTTAGTGCATGGCTCTTGTGATCATCTTTTCTTGCATGTGTCTTTTGTTCAACTGAATCATTTATTTCCACTTGTTTCTTTCCGTGATCCTCACACTTATTTTTGTTCTTTTTCTTTTGCTCCCAAAATTACAATAAAAAGTTGTGAAACTGAGTCCTTATCAACATTGGACCGGTTAGTAACTGCCTTTTCTCTGCTTGTTTGTATGGTTTTGTGCATGTGTGCCAGCTTGTTTGTCTTTGCCTGCAACCGAACATGCCATGCACCATTTCCACACCTGTGCAGCAACAGAAACATTTTTCCCCTGACATTTATTCTTGCACTCAATTTTGTTTGGCGTTTAGAGTAGCAGCAGAATAATAGTGCTTTTTCCCCCTGTATGATTGGTTATTTAAAGAATAATTCACAGGAGATGCAGAATTGATGTTCTTTCTCTATTTCAGGTTGGTGGTCAGCTCCCTTGAAGCTTTGGAAAGCTGTTTTGCAGTTGGTTCATCCAGTGAAAAGGTAAACCTGTGAAGACTTTATTTTTTTATTGACTTTTAAAAGCATAATTCTGTATAAATGAATCCCTGTTATCTACATGCTTGTGTTCAGGATGCATTTTTAATTCATGTCAACTCTATAGGAGAAAAACAAGGCTGCAGCACTGGAGTTGGCAACTTTACTTCTGTCGATGCCAACACCTGTAGGTGTGCAGCAGCAGACAAAGGGGCTTCTTGCCAGTCTGCACACAAGCCGTACTGCCTACCACAATCACAAGGTAATAAAAGAGGCCAAATTCATACAATGTTTAGCTCATTATAATCTGAAAAATGTTGTATTGATTTTCATTAACAGCCAAACACCTTAATACTCTCGCGAACCACTATCCCTCCCTCTGTTCTCCTCAGGACCAGTCCTTGCTGAGCAATGCTGTGCAGTGTCTGAATAGTTGCAGCCGGGAAGGGAAAGAGCTAGACCCTGATGTCTTCCAAAGACTTGTAATCACTGCCCGCTCCATTGCGATCATGAGACCCAACAACTTGGTGCATTTCACAGAAACAAAATCATTGCACCATGACTCGGGTAAGAAGCTTTTCTTGTTATGAAGAATGTTGGCATAGAATAGAATGTTTTATATGTATTCTTGTGTGAGCATATAACAAATAAACTTGATTTTTGTCATTTGGAGTCAAAGTCAGAAAAAGATACTTTTTACTTTTCACTTACAATGAAACAGCTTGGAAGTTAACTGACTTATAATTCTCACACTTACTGGTGTTCTTCTCTTACTAACTCAGAGGTGACAGAGGATGGACAAAAGCATGTGGATAGTGAGAACTGTAATTTTATTGCACAACTGATGAATAACTTCTGGAAACTTCATGCCCTAAAACCAAAGAATGCCTTTCTTGCTCCTGCTTGCTTGCCTGGTAAGTTCTACCCTGTGGGTCCCCAACATTTTGCAAGAACATTTATTGTTAAATGTATATGCATTTATACATATGTGTTGTGAGTAATGTTGATTCACTTAAATCTTATGTAAACAATTTACACGTATTGTAATGCCCAACAGCACGAGTACATTTGTCTTCTATTCTGAAACCCTAGTCTGGAAATGAGTTATTTATTTTAAATTTAAGGTCTAACTCATGTGGAAGCAACAGTAAATGCCTTGGTAGACATCATCCATGCATACTGCACATGTGAGCTGGATTACGTCAATGTAGCCTCCAAAATCTACATGCAGATGTTACTGTGTCCTGTAAGTATATCAGTTTTATTGATCAGTCATTTTTATTTATCTTCTTCTCCTTGAACAGCATTTTAACTACTGTAGTTTGTACCTTGTCAGTAGATTTTTTTTACATGGCTTTACAAGGGTGATAATAAGCAGCATGCCTATATTAAAGATTTTAGGCAATTAGAAGGAGCTCTTGCATGGATCACTGTCAAAGTCATGAGGTAACCAGTCTATATTTAACAATTCACAGGACACTGCTGTCAGCTTTTCTTGCAAGCAGGCTCTGATCAGAGTGCTTAGACCAAGAAACAAGCGACGCCATGTGACCCTTCCATCTCCCCCACGTTCCAACACACCTATGGGTATGTTTATTAATTAATTCAAAGTATTAATTGAATGTTACTAGATGTACATGAATATTTGATAGTTTTTTGGGGGCAATATTAAATATGATTTCTCATATTAGTTATCATTTTAACAAGGCTTTAGGGATCCTCTAAATGTTTGCGGTTGATCTCCTTTATTAGGAGACAAGGATGATGATGACGACGACGATGCAGATGACAAAATGCAGTCATCAGTGTTGACTGGTGGAGAAGAGGGTCGACAGGAGAGCCAAGAACAAAATGAAGTGGACCATGGCGACTTTGAGATGGTGGTGAGACAAAGAGCAGCAGTCTGTAGGCCAGGGGTGTCCAACTCCAGGCCTCGAGGGACAGTGTCCTGAAGGTTTTAGAAGTGTCCTTGATCCAATACAGCTGTTTTAAATGGCTAAATTACCTCCTCAACATGTCTTGAAGTTCTCTAGAGACCTGGTAATGAACTAATCATGATTCAAGTGTGTTGACCCAGAGTGAGATCTAAAACTTGCAGAACACCGGCCCTTGAAGCCTGGAGTTGGACACCCCTGCTGTAGGCTGTTTCTGACATTGGACTAGCATTTTTTTTAGACTGTTTAGAGACACTCATCGCAAAAGTATAAATGATCTTCCTGTTCCTGAATTATTCTGGATGCAGAGTATAATGTTGTAACATCGCAAAGATATATTTAAAGTAACTAACTAGCTCTGACGATGTCAAAAAGTTTGTAATTCACTTCTGTTCATTTATATTATGACTAAATTGTTTTTCTGAGCTCACACTACATAGACAATAAATATACACTGGAGTAACATTTTTAAAAGCCACTTATATTCCTTTCTTTGGCTTGTATGACCATCTTCAAATTTAAATCTTAGTTATCTATAAATTACATATGCTTGTTAAAATTTGGTAAAACATGCCTGTTTTTGTGCTTCACAGTCCGAGTCTATGGTCCTGGAGACAGCAGAAAATGTCAACAATGGAAATCCATCTCCCCTCGAGGCTCTGCTTGCTGGAGCTGAAGGTTTCCCCCCCATGCTTGACATACCTCCTGATGCAGATGATGAAACCATGGTAGAGTTGGCAATTGCTCTAAGCCTGCAGCAGGATCAACAGGGTAAGTGACCAGAAAATCCTAAATAAAGTAATAATTTTGTGACTAGTGTGACTGTGACTTATTACTAGTCCTACTCAGCATTAGTCTTTCCTGTCTATGCTGAAACTATTCTAAATTTCTTTAAACCTTGAAATTCATAGAGCCTTACAATTTTTCTTTTACATAATTGTTTCGAAGCTTTTTTGGTGTGTGTGTGTGTGTGTGTGTGTGTGTGTGTGTGTGTGTGTGTGTGTGTGTGTGTGTGTGTGTGTGTGTGTGTGTGTGTGTGTGTGTGTGTGTGTGTGTATATCAGTTGCCACCCTTCAGAGTGATTTAAACCCTCATAAGTTATTCAACAAAATAAAAAAAAATTTTCTTCCCCCCCCCCCCAGATTACGTTATTTGAATTGTTCTGATCTGCAAAACTTAATGTTTCACCCTGACACATTTTAATGGAAGTTTGGGCACTCCTAGAAGTCCGTCCTTAAACACAATTTTTGACATTTTTAGGCAGTAGCAGCAGTGCTCTTGGGCTTCAGAGTCTAGGCCTGTCTGGCCAGGCCCCAAGCTCCTCTTCACTTGATGCTGGCACCCTGTCAGACACCACTGCATCAGGTAATAAGACCATCTTCACGCTCAACCGGAAGCTAGTTTTTAATGCTTGCAAAGTCACTGTTGCAAGTCAGTTAAACAAACCTTTTTTTTAAAGTTCCAAAAATAAAATAACTTTTTATTTTTAAATTAAATAAAAGGAAATTATTATCATTAAATAATTTTATTCTAACTTGAAGCTCATAAGCTCATCAGTGATACAGCATGTAGTTGTACTGCTCATATCTGTAAGCTGGCCAATGTCAAATTAACCCCTATAATTTAATGCCACACTGGTCACAATGGGTTCGGTAGCACTTATTTTTGATTGTACTGCATGCTCTTTGCATTGTTGGTGCACAAGTATAAACTAAGATCATGTATCCTGGCCAGATGACCGCGGTGTATTTACTGTTACAGCTATTGCTATGATTTCAGCCCCGGCATCAGATGATGAGGGCAGCACAGCTGCTACTGATGGTTCCACATTGCGGACCTCCCCAGCTGAGCACGGCGGCAGCGTGGGCTCAGAGAGTGGAGGTTCTGCTATCGACTCTGTAGCAGGGGAGCACAGTGGTGGGTGATTTAAGTAAAACAGGCCAGTTTAATATTAAAAACATTATATATGCATGCCCCGAATTAGTGGTAGTATCTCAAATATGTAGGAACTTCTATATCCAATTCTTTTCAGCCCCGTAGTAAGTATTAGACTTTAAACTTCTTTAGACATTAATTTTCTCTAATTCCCAATAACCTTCTGAGAAAGGTAGCTCTAAGTTTACAGATTATAATATAGTGTGTCACCTTTCCTATCCTTCCCTTTTCCCATGCCTCATTTTGTTGCGCTTTAAAGTCCTGAGGGGCAAACGTGACTCTTCAGTTTAAAATAAAACCTAATCCTTCCCTGTGTTACATTACCAGATTTCCATATTGCTTAGTTGCTTTCATTCATGCATTTGTATAGTGTCAGGTCGCAGCAGTGCATATGGAGACACAACAGCGGAAGGCCACCCCGCTGGTCCAGGCAGCGTGAGTTCCAGCACTGGAGCCATTAGTACCACCACAGCCCAGCAGGAATGTGAAGGCTCAGAAGGTGAAGGAGAGACTGAAGGAGACATTCATACAAGCAACAGGTCAGATTCATGAATTTGGATTATTTTAGGTTAACTTAAGGCTCCATGATAATGAACATCTGCCATGTGATGTGCTGAAGACTCATTTATACTATCTATGGATACCAACATGACCATAAGAAAGACAGATAATAATATTTACTTTTTATTACATTGTCATGAAAAGTGATTTATGCTTAATAGTTTAACCAGTAAAAAAATGTCATTATGTTTTTCATTAGGTTGCACATGGTTCGTCTTATGCTACTGGAGCGTTTGCTTCAGCACCTTTCTCAGCTCCACAATGTAGGTGGAGTCCAAGCTATCCCTTACATGCAAGTTATCCTCATGTTGACCTCTGACCTTGACGGCGAGGATGAAAAGGATAAAGGTGCTTTGGATGACCTGCTTGCACAGCTCATTGCCGAGCTTGGCATGCACAAGAAGGTAACTACTGTTTTGTCCTTTCCTCATTTTGTATCAGGCTCAGAATATTTTTGTTTTACTGAATCGTGTTATATCTCTGCAGGATGTTTCCAAGAAGAATGAGCGTAGTTCCATAAATGAAGTTCATTTGGTCATCATGAGGCTGCTTAGTGTCTTCATGTCTCGAACAAAGTCTGGATCCAAATCTTCCTCTGAGGTACAGTTGTACTATAATCACTATGTAGTGTGTAGCCAGGTTTGCACCTCTCTCAACAACTGCTCAAAATTGATTGCAGTCATTCATCACATCTCATTTTTGCTCAAGTTTCATATTATTATTAACATAACTTGTGCCATGAAGCTCACAGTTTCATGGCTATCATGCAACTTGATTATACTTTGTACATCATGAATTTTGAAGTCAGCTGTTTTCCCTCTTTTTGTCTTCTAGTCATCCTCCCTCATTTCCAATGCCACAGCAACCGCCTTGCTCAGCCTGGGTTCTATTGACTACTGCCTCCAAGTGCTCAAGTCACTCCTGGAGTTTTGGAAGAGCCAACAGGGTGAAGAAGAGCCAGTGACTGCCAGCCAGCTCCTCCGCACACACACAGCTTCCTCTCCCCCTGACATGAGTCCTTTCTTCCTTCGCCAATATGTTAAGGTAAGATAATCTCAACATAAAAAACGTAAAAGACTATTTATATCTCTCAAATTTTAACATTAACTCAATATATTGTTTTTGCAATCAGGGGCATGCTGCTGATGTGTTTGAAGCCTACTCCCAGTTGTTGACTGAAATGGTGCTTCGGCTGCCATATCAGATAAAGAAAATTGCTGACGCCAACCCACGTATCCCACCTCCTGTATTTGATCATTCCTGGTTCTACTATCTATCTGAAGTAAGCCATCATATAAATGTTTTTTTTCTTTTGTCTTTCCAAAAGAGAGAAATTGATCTCCTCATTTTCCCCCCCCAATTTTTCCCAGTATCTGATGATACAACAGACACCATTCGTCAGGAGGCAAGTCAGAAAACTGTTGTTGTTCATTTGCGGCTCAAAGGAAAAATATCGTCAGCTACGAGACCTGCACACTCTTGACTCTCATGTGCGCAGCATCAAAAAGCTTCTAGAGGAACAGGGCATCTTCCTCCGGGCTGGTGTAGTCACTGCCTCTTCTGGCTCAGCCCTACAGTATGACACACTCATCAATCTGGTGAGTGTCTTGATAAGACAGTGTACCACTCCTGCATTACTCTGGATCCATTATGTATAAAACAGGTTTAGTTAGAACTTGTTTATTTGTGTTTTTATCCTTTTTTGTGTCTTAGTAAGCTGCAGTGCTGTGTTGAATTTATTGGTTTTAGAATGTTTTATTTTGTGTGTGTGTGTGTGTGTGTGTGTGTGTATATATGTGTGTGTATATATATATATATATATATATATATATATATACACATACATACATACATACATATGGTTTTTTTTTTTCTTTGCTATGCTTTGCTGTAAATTGCTTTATTTATTTTTGTAGATGGAACACCTGAAAGCTTGTGCTGAAATTGCCACTCAAAGGACAATCAACTGGCAGAAGTTCTGCATGAAGGATGACTGTAAGTTGTTTGTGATTACTTATTTATTTTTGAAGCAACAAATGTTTTACACAAGTACTAACTATTTATGTCTCTGTCTTTGCTTTTCTTTTTTTCCATACAGCTGTCTTGTACTTCTTGCTCCAAGTCAGTTTCTTGGTGGATGAGGGCGTTTCCCCAGTTTTGCTGCAACTCCTCTCCTGTGCTCTGTGTGGCAGCAAGGTGCTGGCCAGCTCCTCCTCTACTTCATCCTCATTCTCAGGCGGAGGGTCTGGTAGTGCTGGACAGACAGGAGCCTCTCAGTCCTCTCAGAGCAAGTCTTCTAGTAAAAAGAGCAAAAAAGAAGACAAAGAGAAAGAAAAAGATGGTGAGAAAATAAAAAATGACTAGTTGTACTTCTTCGAAAATCAACTAGCGTAGAAACACATATTGGGTACTGAACTGGGCTCCAGTGCTCCTTTGAACCTGAACAAGATGTAAAAGTGGTGTAAAATGATTGGTCGATGAGAGTATCCTGAATTTAATTGTATATTGTCAACTGACCACAGGGGATGGTGTTGGTAGCCAGGAGGATCAGCTTTGTATGGCTCTGGTCAGTCAGCTTAACAAATTTGCAGACAAGGAGACGCTCATTCAGTTCCTACGCTGTTTCTTGCTGGAGTCAAACTCATCTGCTGTGCGCTGGCAAGCCCACTGCTTGGCGCTGCATATCTACAGGTATTGTAGAAACATACACCTAGTACATTGGGTAGTTTGGTCTAAAGATTAGTCTATTTAACAAAAGCTTAGGCTTATTGCATCACTTTTTAACAATTGAATACATGTATGGACAACCTGATATTGTTTGTACTTCCGCAGGAACTCTAGTAAATCTCAGCAGGAGCTGCTGCTTGAACTGACTTGGGCCATCTGGCCAGAGCTTCCTGCATATGGCCGTAAAGCTGCCCAGTTTGTCGACCTACTTGGTTACTTCTCACTCAAAACCCCTCAAACTGAGAAAAAGGTTAGATTTTTTTTCTTTTCTTTTTTCTTTCTTTAAAATCCTTTTCTGTATTTCATGCAGTTTTTTTTTTTTTTTTAAATAAAATTATAGTTTGGCTATTTTCTATATCAATTCAAAGAGGAATAATTCAGTATTTACAATTAAACATTTAGTTTTTGTTCTTAAAGTATTACACAAGGGTTCATATCCTGATGCTTGTGTTTTTATTTGTCTCCACAGACCATAGACACCACTTTCATTATGATAGAAGATGAAATTGTTTTGTTTCTCTTATTTATTTATGTATTTTTCTCCAGCTGAAGGAGTATTCCCAAAAGGCTGTGGAAATCCTGAGAGCACAGAACCATATCCTGACAAATCACCCCAACTCCAATATATACAAGTATGTTGATAGATACTGAAATCGAAACATTCAATCTTATAACAGTGAGAATGCAACTATTGGGCATCATCTACATAAAATTACATGTGTTTTTTTTTTCTGCAGCACACTCTCAGGATTAGTGGAGTTTGATGGCTTTTATCTGGAAAGTGACCCCTGCTTGGTGTGCAACAATCCAGAAGTTCCCTTCTCCGTGAGTGAAACACACCCTCACACAACAGGCATATTCTTTTAAAAAGTGCACAGGCAGTCAAGCTAATTAAAATAATTTTTACATACTAGTAAATTTCACAGGGGAAGGCTTAAAGAGAGATGGTATTGGTTTCAGAATTTGAAAACCCCCTGCCAAATGCAAAACTCTTAGTATTAACTGTGTAACATAGCTGGTTAGTTAAACAATGATGAAATACAGTTATGTTGATAGAAACATCCTCTAAACGTAGGTATAAACAGTTCTCAGTATTGTTTTAAGCATAGTTTTAATTTTTATTTTATTTTCATCCACCAGAATATAAAACTGTCATCCATCAAAGTAGACACCCGCTATACGACCACACAACAGGTTGTCAAGCTCATTGGTAGCCACACCATCAGCAAAGTCACAGTGAAGATTGGTGACCTCAAACGCACCAAAATGGTCCGCACCATCAATCTCTATTACAACAACAGGACAGTCCAGGCGATCGTGGAGCTGAAGAATAAGTATGTCAGCAAAGAGCTGCTGTTCTTTCTTGCTTTTAGTTTTCATATTATTATGGTAAATTTTAAGGTGCAAAGATGTAGTATCAACTTGGAAGTTTCATTTTAATTTACTTTTTTGGCATTAATTAGGAGTTCTTAACTTTACTGTCTTTTTTCTTTTCTTTTTAGGCCTGCTCGTTGGCACAAAGCCAAGAAAGTTCAGCTCACCCCGGGACAAACAGAAGTGAAGATTGACCTTCCCTTACCTATCGTCGCTTCCAACTTGATGATTGAGTTTTCCGATTTCTACGAGAACTACCAGGCTTCCACTGAGACCCTGCAGTGTCCACGCTGCAGTGCTTCCGTACCGGCCAACCCCGGTGTGTGTGGCAACTGCGGTGAGAATGTGTATCAGTGCCACAAGTGCAGGTGAGCCCTGTGTTTCCTCTGCGGTTCTTAAAGAATTGAAGACACTTTTAGATTTATTGGATTTTTACTATATGGTCGACACTTTTCAGGTCTATCAATTATGACGAAAAAGACCCCTTCCTGTGCAACGCCTGTGGTTTCTGCAAATATGCCCGATTTGACTTCATGCTGTATGCTAAACCATGCTGTGCTGTGGATCCTATTGAAAATGAGGAAGACAGGAAAAAGGTAGAAAAAAAAAAAGAAGCCTCTTCTAGGACAAGAAAAACATTTAAAGGAATTGGTTAAAAATAGGCTTACCATTCCTAAAAGTCAGACTACAAAATGTTTTGTCCCTTTTTGCATAGGCTGTGACCAACATTAACACCCTGTTGGACAAAGCTGACCGGGTCTACCACCAGCTGATGGGTCACCGGCCTCAGTTGGAGAGTCTCTTGTCTAAAGTCAATGAGGCAGCACCGGAGAAGCCCCAGGTCAGTCAAGAGGGACTGAAAGAGCACTTGACCTAAATAAGCACAGCTTGTACTAATGCAACCTGCACATGCTGCAGAGATCATTTATGTTTTTCTTCAGTCTCTCTTTTAGCTCTATTTCTACAGTTTTATCTAACAGTATTTTCTCTTGTCTTTTATTTCTTTCAGGATGACACTGGAGCAGGAGCAGGACTTGGTGCATCCTCTGCTAATGTGAACAGATACATTCAGCAACTGGCTCAGGAATACAGTGGAGATTGCAAGACCTCATTTGATGAACTCTCCAAGATTATACAGGTTAGGAAGAAAATGCAGTTAACTTTCCTGATATCTGTACCCTTGTTTTCTTCCTGCTCTCATACAATTGTGCCCCTTCCTTCTTTGTTTACAGAAAGTGCTTGCATCTCGTAAAGAGCTCTTGGAGTATGACCTACAACAGAGAGAGGCTGCCACTAAGTCATCTCGGAGCAGCAGTAGCCACCAGCCCACCTTCACCGCCAGTCAGTACCGCGCCCTCTCTGTGCTGGGCTGCGGCCATACATCTTCAACCAAGTGTTACGGCTGTGCTTCAGCTGTTACAGGTCACTGCATCACACTGCTCCGCGCACTGGCCACCAATCCAGCCCTTCGGCAGATCCTAGTCCTTCAGGGTCTCATCCGTGAGCTGTTTGAGTATAACTTGCGTCGAGGTACAGCAGCCATGAGGGAGGAGGTGCGCCAGCTGGTCTGTCTCCTCACTAGGTATGTCCTTTCCTTCACATATTTTCATGTGACAATTAATTGCCTGACTTCAGTTCCACATATAAGCAATGATAGTATTGTAAGTTGTTGGAACGATAACATTGAAATCTCAGCTTTTTGCTTTTTAACTTTCTATGTTAATACACGCTGTATATAATGGTGTTTCATTGTCATTTGGTCTCCTGTATCCTTACATGTTTTTGTTTTTTTTCCTTGTCTCTCTATCTTTTGCTTCAGAGATCACCCAGAAGCCACTCAGCAGATGAACGATCTGATCATTGCCAAGGTGTCAGCTGCCCTCAAAGGTCACTGGGCCAATCCTGATCTGGTAGGTCTCAGAGGTCATACTGAAAATAATTTAAACCCAACAAACATTGTTTTTTGTTTTTTTTTTGGGGGGGGGTGTTTTTTTTTCCAGAGTCGCTGTGACTATGAACTTTACTATAAAGAGCTCCGATTTTAAAATACACACACTGTTTTTTGTTTTTCCCCCATCAGGTTAGTAATTTGCAGTATGAAATGCTGCTGCTAACGGACTCCATTTCAAAAGAGGGTGGATGCTGGGAATTACGGTTGCGTTGTGGTAAGCATTAATAATATACTTCAATTATGTTGTGCATTGTTTGTCTATAACAATTAATTAATAAATAAAATTAATAAAATATGCATATGATATATTCTATTGATGGATCATTTGTATGGATAAGGCAGCGGTCCCCAGCCTTTTTTGCGCCACGGACCAGTTTATGTCCGACAATATTTTCACGGACTGGCGGACGGACAGGTGTCGCGGATAAATACAACAAAATATAACCAGTACCGGTACACCCCCCCCCCCCCCAAAAAAAAAAGATTTATTCATAACACACAGAAAAAGACCCAGGGAAACTATTTTAAAGAACTAACGCTAAAAACGGATAGAAACCCTGAAAACCATAAATTTCACACCCGAGCCTCAACTCTCGGTACCAAACGACTGGTCGATGGCCCGGGGGTTGGGGACCACTGGGCTAAGGGACTCTAAATTTATAAACAGTTCATCCAGCTCCGTCAATCCTGGCCAGGAATTTTGAGAGAACAATTTATTTATTTATTTATTTATTTATTTATTTAGGTTTGGTTATTTTTGTCTGACCAAATCAGTCTCGGTCTACATAGGGTGGTATTGATTAGACACCTGGAACTATCGCTCTTCTTCTTCTTTTTTCCTCTAATATTATTTTGAAAGAGGTTTTGTTGGATTAAAGCAGTTAAGAGTCTTCGACTAATAGTGTTGTATCTTTTGTTTTGTTTTCCCTCACTCCTTCCCCATATGTAGCCCTCAGCCTGTTCCTCATGTCTGTCAACATAAAGACACCGGTAGTGGTGGAAAACATCACACTGATGTGCCTGAGAATCCTGCAAAAGCTGATTAAGCCCCCTGCTCCCACTAGCAAGAAGAACAAGGTAAAAAAAAATTTGCTGCATGTTTAAAATAGATAAATATAAGCATATCTGTTGTGTCGGTTACCACTTGGTTGTATTATGCCACCTAACAAAGTTATGTGTGTTTTCTGTTTAAAGGATGCTGCCATTGAGTCTCTGACTACAGTCAGGCCCTACAGTAATGAAATCCACGCCCAGGCCCAACTCTGGCTCAAAAAAGATCCCAAAGCATCTTATGAGGCCTGGAAAAAGTGTCTTCCAGCAAGATGTAAGTATCGTGTCTGAACGGTTTACATTATCTGAGTGTCACAGGTTTATTCATTTATTGTATTTAATGAAATAGGAGCACTCAAACTTCTCATTGTTGTCTATCGCAGGTCAGGAAACGATGTCAAAACCTCAGGGGAAGGCTGAGTTACGGAAACAGTATCTACTTGAGAAGTATGTGTGGAAGTGGAAACAGTTCATGAGGTCTAGAAAAGGAGAAGGCCTTTTCCCGCGCCTGCTTAAACTGAGCCACAACAACTGGCTGCGACAGGTAATAATTAAAAAATAAAAAATCAGAAAAATGTTGTTTGCTTTGTTGGTTAGTTCACAAACCGGTAAATGCAATTTCTTAAAAAATGCTAACTTTAGCTCTACTTTTGCAGGTTCTTTTCACACCTGCCACCCAGGCTGCAAGACAGGCAGCTTGCACTATTGTGGAGGCACTTACCACAATCCCTAGCCGCAAGCAACAGGTCCTGGACCTGCTCACCAGGTACGAGTCTCAACAGAAAGCTAGCAAATCTTGACATGCTCTATTTTGAATTTCATATACATAAATTAGGTTGATAATTCCAATGAATTTGGATATGCTTAGCAATATAGCATAACTAGTTAAAGATGAATAGCTCTTATCATGTATTTCCATGATTTTATATTTGCTGGAAAATGAATTATCGGGCAGAAAAATAATATTATTTTAAATACTTTACAGATAAAGTGTTAAAGAAGAACATAATTCTGTGCTTAATAATGAAAGAAAATGCGTCTCAGGCAGCTCACTTATTGCATAGTTTCTCAAGCAAAAGGATGAAAACTGTTAAAGTGATTAAAAAACTGTCCTTCTTTAAGTTATCTGGATGAACTGAGTGTCGCTGGAGAGTGTGCAGTGGAGTATCTGGGTCTGTACCAGAAGCTGATTAAGCCAACACACTGGAAGATTTATCTGGCTGCCCGGGGAGTCCTGCCCTACATTGGCAACCTGATCACCAAGGTATTATTTTAACGTTCAAAGAATGTAATTTTATAGTCAGATAAACACTGGTGTTTTTAAGTTAGTATCTTCATAGTCCTGTTCCTTTCCCAATTTCAAACAACTGAAGTGTCACTAGATCCATTAGAAGTGCTCCTATTTCAGTATCTTATCTTGTTTATTGCTATGATCAGGAAATAGCCAATCTGTTGGCTCTAGAGGAGGCTACACTGAGCACAGACTTGCAGCAAGGCTACGCCCTGAAGAGCTTGACTGGTATGTTAATTTCCATCTTTAGATTTTCAGCATATATACAGATTGAGTGGTACAAATTACTTTTATATCACAAGTAAAGTTGCAGCTAATTCAGACTTTCCTGAATCTTCTTTTTTTGGTTCTGTGTGCGTTTTTTAGGTTTGCTGTCATCTTTTGTCGAAGTGGAGTCCATTAAGCGGCATTTCAAAAGTAGGTTGGTCGGCACGGTTCTTAATGGTTATCTGTGCCTGAGGAAGTTGGTGGTTCAGCGAACCAAACTCATTGATGAAACTCAGGATATGCTACTTGAGATGCTGGAAGACATGACGACAGGTGGGCATTGACAATAATTATAAATTTAATTATTTTTTTAAAAAGATAATAATATTCTTATTTGGTCAACTGAATATTGTACAAATTGTGCTTAATATTTTTTTTTATTTGTATGTCTTGTATTGTTTATAGGAACCGAGTCTGAAACCAAAGCTTTTATGGCAGTGTGCATAGAGACTGCAAAGCGGTACAACCTGGATGACTACAGAACACCTGTGTTCATTTTTGAGAGACTTTGCAGCATCATCTACCCTGTGAGTTGCCTTTACCTCGATTAGAGCTGCAACAAATAATGTCTTAAATTTTAATATAATGTTCACTAATTTTCACTAAGTCATACAAGTAATTTTCATTTGACTGAAGGCTTTCAAGTGCAACATCCTGCTGCTTTCTTGACATTTGAGATTAATGATCAAGTAATAAGAAGTAATTATATACAAATTGTTATATTATATACAAGTATTTGTATTATATACAGATATATTTAGATTGAGTGTAGTTTGTGTTTTAACGTTCATTCTTTGAGTTGTGAGTAAAGATGAAGAAGTGACGTGCTTGTGTAATTTTGGAAACAGTTTTGAAGCAGAATTTGTTTTAATCTGGAGTAGGGCTGGGCCATATCATACCGTTCAGGTAATACCAGTGTAATGTTAGGCAATGATAAGAAAATGAAATATCGCAGTAGAATACGGGTAAAACGCGCATGCGCAGTGCCTTTGTTTTCATACCCACATGGCAGAAAAAGCATGGCGAATGAGAAGGGCGAAAGCGGATCGTTGAATGACAGATGAACCAGAATTGGTTTATAGGTGCAACTTCAGTGGTGTGGAACTGGTTTGGCTTTCGTCTGTCAGATGCACACCAAAGCACTATTTTGTAGAGCATGCAAGCAGGCCGTTGTTATTAACGTGTTTTTCGGTAAATAAGTCGCTCTTAAAATCCTTTGATTTTTCTGAAAAATTGACAGTGCCCAATATAATTCTTATGTATGAATTCTGGTTGTGCTTACTGACCTCGAACTGATTTATGTGCTACACGGCGCTCGAAAACCTGTCAAAAAATGTTTTAGTACAGTTTTAGTACTAAGCTACAGAGCTGCACCGCTTGACAGATTGTCGGAGCATTACAGCTACCGTAGTCAGGAGTCTCCCGGAGTGATATGTACTGCGCTTCAACATAATATTACTGTATTGTGTGTATAACCTCTTTTTAAGTTTTGTGGATATGTCGGCCAATTTCCACTGGAAATGCCTTTTGGTTAAACTGTCAGCAAGGATTTGCATTTGCACTGTTAAATTTTTATATATAACTTTAATGCACATAAAAAAACAGCTGCTTGTTTCAGAGCAGGGCGATATGACCAAAAATATTTATCACGATATACATTTGAAAATTTGCGATAACGATATAACTGACGATATAATTGACACTAGACAAAATACTTTACAACTCCACAACTTTATTAGTGCAAAAAAAAAAAATCAATGTATTTTCACTTAAACAAACAGCTTTTTTTATGTGCATTAAAGTTATATAAAAAATTAACAGTGCAAATGCAAATTCCTTGCTGACAGTTTAACCAAAAGGCATTTCCAGTGGAAATTGGCCGACATATCCTCAGCATAACCATGTATAATATCCACAAAACTTGAAAGAGGTTATACACACACAGTAATATTATGTTGAAGCGCAGTACGTATCACTCCGCGAGGCTCCTGACTACGATAGCCGTAATGCTCCGACAATCCATCAAGTGGTGCGGCTTCGTAGCTTAGCAAAGTCGTACTGAAACATTTGACAGATTTTCGAGCGCCGTGTGCCACATAAAATCGTTTTGAGGTCAGTAAACACAACCAGAATTCATACATAAGGCACACGGGATTATAAGGGGCACTGTCGATTTTGTGCTTTGTTGTGTATCTGACGGATGAAAGCCAAACCAGTTCCACACCACTGAAGTTGCAGCATTTTTACAAACCAATTCTGGCTCATCAGTTTCATTTAACGATCCCCTTTTGCTCTTCTCATTCTGCGTTGCCGCCATGTGCGTATGTAAACAAAGGCACTGCGCATGCGCGTTTTACCCATGTTCTATCGCGATATTTCATTTTCCTATCGTTGCCCAACATTACACTGGTATTACCGTGAACGGTATGATATAGCCCAGCCCTCGCTTGTTTAAGTGAAAATACTTTTTTTTTTTTGCGCTAATAAAGTTGTGGAGTTGTAAAGTATTTTGTCTAGTGTCAATTATATCGTTATCGCAAATTTTCAAATATATATCGTGATAAATATTTTTGGCCATATTGCCCTGCCCTAATCTGGAGCATTTGTTTCATTCACTATCTAGGAAGAGAATGAGGTGACAGAGTTCTTTGTGACGCTGGAAAAGGATCCTCAGCAAGAGGACTTCTTGCAGGGTCGCATGCCAGGAAACCCCTACAGCAGCAACGAGCCCGGCATCGGTCCTCTGATGAGGGACATCAAAAACAAGATCTGCCAAGACTGCGACCTGGTGGCTCTTCTTGAAGATGACAGTGGCATGGAGGTAAAGTAACCTTACATTTGAGTTGCTTTGAAGGTTTCCTTTTCTTGTGAAATTATAAAAGGTGACACAGTTCAAGAAAAAATTACCAGATGTGTTTTTTGTTTTGTTTTGGGGTTTTTTTTGTTTTTCAGCTTCTGGTAAACAACAAAATCATTAGTTTGGATTTGTCAGTGGCAGAGGTCTATAAGAAGGTGTGGTGTCCTACAAATGAGGTGAGACTCACATTTTCTATGAATTAGTTACACTTTTACAAACATTTGGAATCATACAAATTGTCATGAAATGCTTACAGTCCTTTAAAGAATTAATGGTACTGAGAGCCCACTGACCTTGTCTCCCCACCCCCCCCAAAAAGGGTGAGCCAATGAGAATCATCTATCGTATGAGAGGACTACTTGGAGATGCTACTGAGGAGTTCATAGAGTCACTGGATTCAACTACAGGTTTGATTTGCTTTTAACTTGGTGTGTCTTCATAATTAGGGTCAAGCTTGTTCTCGTTTATGTGACATCTACCAGGTTTTGCCCTTAATATAATTATTGCTGTATGTATTCTTGGCCATCATATGTACCTGTATGCACAGAATGAGATGCAAATGTTTTAATTGACCTCGTTACAGATGAGGAGGAGGATGATGAAGAAGTGTACAAGATGGCAGGAGTGATGGCACAGTGTGGAGGACTCGAGTGTATGCTCAACCGGCTGTCTGGAATCAAAGACTTTAAACAAGGAAGACATCTGCTCACCGTAAGACAGTATTTTTGTGTCAGAAAGCGTTTTGAAATAATACCATTCTTTATTCTCCAGTCATCAATGTAAACTGTAATTTATTTGTAATTTTGAATTCTTCTTTGAATTAGTAAAAACGAATGCTGGTTATCTAGAATATATATGTCATTATTATTTAGAATTAAATTCATATAGTGCCCTAAATTAGAATTAAAACTTTTTTTTTCCTCCCCCAGGTTTTGCTGAAGTTGTTCAGTTACTGTGTGAAAGTGAAGATCAATAGGCAACAGCTTGTCAAACCAGAGATGAACACACTCAATGTCATGCTGGGAACTCTAAACTTGGTGAGTCTTATGCTGATTGTTGTGATTCAGTTTCTAGATTGTATTTGTGTGTGTGTGTGTGTGTGTGTGTGTGTGTGTGTGTGTGTGTGTTTTGTGAGCAATTGTAACTTCTATATATATACACACACACATATATATATATATACACACACACACACACACACACACACACACACACACACACACACTTTGGTGTCACGGTTCGATATTTTTTCGATACAAAAAATGTTCATGCTTTTTTTAATTTATAATTTTAATAAATGACAAATGTATATTTTAACTCAAAAGTACAGTTTTTAAATTTAATGTTGCCAAAACAACAAAATAATAAAAAATAAATAAATCTATCTGATTGAGAAATCACTCATCTTTGTAAAAGAGGTTATTACAGAGAAATGGCTCTTTCCAAAATAAAAGCTATACTATACGCTTCTTCTGGGCTATATTCTCAGCAGCATATTAAACATATCAGGTCCCCATAAGGAGAATCATGTGCTAACGGCTGTCTAAATGATTTGGGTAAAGTTTGCGTGCTTGTTGTTTTTGTCTGCTTCCACTTGTCTTTGCACTAGGATGATGTCGGCGTAAATGTGCAGTCATATTCGTTGTGTTCCCACTAGTGCTGTCAGCGTTAATCTCGTTGAAATGACCTTAACGCCACAACACGGCAGATCTCCGTTAACGAGTTACCGCGGATCGCCCTGTGTATGGGGCTGGATGGCATCAACACGTTAACAAGCTAACTGTGCTAACGCGCTAGTTCCCACCAATTGAGCATTGCGTGACACATCCGACATACTGTTTTACTTTTGTCCATGACGCGCTTACCATCAGGGTCATACTTCACATGAAAACCAAACTAGTTCCAAACGCCAGATCTGAATGAGGGTGGGGGAGGTTCAAATTCGGCTAGCGTTGAGGCAGTTGCCATGTTGCAACGAGCTTAACTTTTGTCTTGCTAGCTTGCGCTGCGCTCAGTGGATCTGCGCTCGACAGTGCAGCCTAGGCAGAGTAGTCAAACGCAGATCCACTGAGCGCTCAACACAGACAGCATCATCAGAAGAAAAGTTGATAAAATAAATAAAAAATTTTGTATTGTTCGATACATATGCGTACTGAACCTAAAGCACTGTATCGAATGGTTCAATATCGATACAAGTATTGTTGCACCCCTAATATATAGATATAGATATATAGATATAGATGGAGAGATGGAGATGGATAGAGAGAGAGAGGGAAATATTTTTTTTATGTTATTTTTCCTTCAGGCCTTAGTGGCAGAACAAGAGAGTAAGGATAGTGGTGGAGCCTCTATAGCAGAGCAAGTCCTGAGCATCATGGAGATCATTCTGGATGAGGCCAATGCTGAGATTTCAGAGGACAAGGTAACAATCTGAAGCTAATTTTATCTTCTGCTACAATCATAAAATCATACCCTCAAAAAGACCTTTTAATTCCGTTTTTGTGTTTTGTTTAGTTTTTTTAATTAGAAACTGTCTTGTCCTTTGCAGGGTAACCTTCTCCTTACAGGAGACAAGGATCAGCTTGTCATGTTGTTAGACCAGATCAACACCCTGTTTGTGCGCTCCAACCCCAGCGTGCTCCAGGGTCTTCTGCGCATTATTCCATACCTGTCTTTTGGCGAACTAGAGAAGATGAGGATTCTGGTGGAACGCTTCAAACCGTGTTGCAACTTTGACAAGTGAGCACTCAGCTTTTACTTACTAATAAGCACATGAAGACTTTAAAGGGGCTATTATTTTACATTTTAATGGATAAATCGGGCTAATCTTTGTAGGAGAACCATGCTCCTATGGGCACTTTTATAGTTAATTTAGTGAAATTGACTCTTATTTTTGTGTTTGTGTTGTGTTTCTTTAAGGTACGACGAGGAGCATAGTGCTGATGACAAAGTGTTTTTGGACTGCTTCTGTAAAATCGCTGCTGGAATCAAAAATAACAGCAACGGCCATCAACTGAAAGATCTTATTCTGCAAATAGGAATCACACAGAGTGCACTGGACTACATGAAGAAGCATATCCCAAATGCCAAAAAGTAGGTCTCTTGTAGGTAAATATTTTGTATACAAGTACAAATGCAAGATTTTTTGTTTTTAAACCTCTTTTTTGTTTTTCTGAAATCTCTCATCAGTCTGGATGCGGATGTTTGGAAGAAATTCCTCTCTAGACCTGCTCTACCCTTTATTCTCAGACTTCTCCGTGGTTTGGCTACCCAGCATCCCCCCACACAGGTACAGAATGCTTTGAATATTAGACTAAACTGGAGTCAACTCAGACAGTTCTTTTTGTAAACACATGAACCTGTCTCCCTAATATAGCTGAGTGTCATCTTCTTTTGTCTAGGTGCTCATAGGCACAGATTCGATAACAAACTTGCACAAGCTGGAGCAGGTATCCAGTGATGAAGGCATAGGAACTCTAGCAGAGAACCTTCTAGAGGCTCTGAGGGAACACAGTGACGTCAACTTGAAGATTGAAGCAGCCCGCAGAGAAACCAGAGCTGAGAAAAAGCGTATGGCTATGGCTATGAGGCAGAAGGCTCTGGGAACTCTTGGCATGACGGTATATTTTTTTTTTTTATTACCACAGACTTGAATTGAAATGTGGATTTTATTGTAAGCTTTATGTTTGTCTTTCAGACCAATGAAAAGGGGCAGGTGGTGACAAAGACTTCACTCTTGAAGCAAATGGAAGAGCTGATAGAGGAACCAGGCTTGACCTGCTGTATCTGTAGAGAAGGTTACAAGTTCCAGGTATAAAAGCACATACAGGATTGAGGGAAGTTTGACATTATTTAACACTGAAGACATCTGGTTTTGGAATCCTATTTAAAGTATCAGTAGCCAAATTGTAGATAATTAAAATGACACTCTTATCAGTCTGATTTGCTGGTTTTCTTGGCATGCTGAAATTTGTTGTTGTTTTCAGTTCTCATTTTCATTCTGGTTTCTCTTTCACTAGCCAACCAAAGTCCTGGGTATTTACACTTTCACAAAGCGTGTAGCCTTGGAGGAATTTGAAAACAAGCCTCGCAAGCAGCAGGGTTACAGCACTGTGTCGCACTTTAACATAGTCCACTATGACTGCCATCTGGCAGCAGTCAGGTAGCTACAAACACCAGCATTTACTCTGTGGTGATGTTTAGAGTACCCCTTACATTCTTTCTGCAGCCCCACTTTTCATTTTTTTTGTAATACATGCCTGTTATTTTTACTTATTTTAGGCTGGCTCGTGGGCGAGAGGAATGGGACAGTGCTGCTCTCCAGAATGCTAACACCAAGTGCAATGGTCTGCTTCCTGTGTGGGGGCCACATGTGCCAGAATCAGCTTTTGCTACATGCCTAGCAAGGTTAAAAGAAAAAATCAGCATAAATTAGAGAGAACATTTTCTTCATGTGGCACAATTTCTTCAACCAAACTCTTTTACTGCACAGGCACAACACATATCTTCAGGAGTGCACAGGCCAGCGAGAGCCCACATACCAACTCAACATCCACGATACCAAACTGCTGTTCCTCCGCTTTGCTACTGAGCAGTCATTCAGCGTGGACACAGGAGGTGGAGGTCGGGAGAGCAACATCCACCTCATCCCCTATATCATCCACACTGTTCTCTATGTCCTCAACACGTATGTACATTTTTGATGTGCACAGAAAACACTTGCTGACATTTACTCAATATTGATGCTGAGGTGATACATGTGTGGGACTGTTGAGGCTTAAAATAAAACACAAATCCAAAGTTTGATTTTACAGCTCATAGTTCTCATTCCCATCTCACCTTATTTCACTTTGCAAATTCTGTCACTGTAGTACAAGGGCTACGTCCCGAGAGGAGAAGAACCTGCAGAGTTTCCAGGAGCAACCATGTGAGAAATGGGTTGAAAGCTCATATGAAGTTGAAGGGCCCCACTATTACACCATCCTGGCCATGCACATCATGCCACCCGAACGGTGGAGAAGTTCTCGTCTGTACTTCCTGCGGAGACTTCTGGGCACTGCGCATGCCCGTAAAGTCTCGGCAGCCTGTGCAAACAAGTATGAGACCTTTCCTTTCCTGTCTCCATTTGTTTTACACTCAATGCAGGGCACCTTTGTCTGTGATATTAATTAAATCCTTCAAGCAGGGAGCAGGTTCAGTACCAAATTATTAATTTGTTTGCCAATAATTCCAACAGGAAACTTTTACACTAGTGTAATTTTATTTTGAATACATCTAAGACATGTGAGTATTGACCAGTGAAGCAGGTCAGAGTTATAAATTTAAAAAGAAAAAGGAATAACCATTGAATGTTGTGTCCATTATTTATCTCAGAAGGTCTTCATCCACATCTTCTCTTATCTATTCTCAGGCTCACAGATAAAACACCAAAGGAATATGCAGTGTATCGCTCACCTCTTCTTTTCTGGGGCCTGGTGGACCTGGTCTACGACATGTTCAGGGTAAAGTATTTTGCCTGTCGATACTGTAAAACGATGGTATTATGCTCTTTCAATTTTGGGGATGCTTTGTAAAAATAGGAGTCATTACCTGTAAATACAGAATTCAGAATGTTGTTTGTTTGTTTGGGGGGTGGGTGTTTAGGGACATTTTCAATCTAATGGGAACATTGACATTAGACAAATAGATAATATACTGTAATTCCCTCTTCTGCTCTTGATTTTGTTTTTACAGAAGGTACCAACCAGCAACACAGAGGGCGGCTGGTCCTTCTCACTGGCAGAATATGTCCGTCACAATGACATGCCCATCTATGAGGCCTCCGAGCGTGTGCTCAGGGCTTTCCAGGATGAACTCATGCCCGCTGAATCCCTGTCAGAGTTCTTTGATGTTGTAGGTCAGTATGCACACACACACACCTATGTTTCTGGCTGATACTATTCTGATACTACTTCTTTTTAGACAAAATAAATCATCTCAGATAGAGAAAGCCCACAAAAAAGAACGTTTTGGTAGTGAAATTTCAGTGAAATCCATCTCAAATAAATGCCGTCAGTGAATAAGAGGATTTGCATTATTCAGTGCAGAAGTATAAACAAGCTTCACAGTTTATTTTCGTCTTCTCTTGTGCCATTTTTCTTTTAATTTACGACACTTCTTTTCTGGTGTGAATAATAAACTGTGGTGTTGGTCGAATGTTACTATTAAACTTTGTTTTTCAGGTCTCCTCTCTGAAATTCCAGACCCGGACCTCTTCCTGCAGGATTTGTTGAACTCTTTGCCCTAATGGCCAACCTCAAACCACAACCCCTCAAACACAAAACGCCCCTGCAATTATCATCTGGACACCTACCAGCTGAACAAAAATTTACTTTTTACACACTGATATTCACACAGTGTATACACCACGCTTCCTACTTAACTCCCACTCCCATATGACATCTTCAAATGATCTTTAAGCAGAAACTATGTGTAGTTTAAAAAAAACAAAGAAAAAGAGAAAAGATCCATCTCTGTAAAGTTTAACACAGAAACACCGTGCTGTCAAAGGTTGGGGAGGGCACACAAAACAGAATTTACACTTTGATTCAAACTCTTTCAGACTAGAGTTGAGATCACAACTTGTTTTGTTTCAGGAAGCTTGAGGGAAAAATGAAGCAGGGCTCTGCCGACCACCCAGCCACAACCATTCACATCTGTCACCATCAAGGCATCTGTCTCTTTATGATGCCATAGATGATCAAAAAAAGGCCAGCTGAATTTAATGATTCATGTGAAAAGAAGAAATAATAGTTTTTTTTGTTGATGGGAACAGCCTACGAATTCTGTTTTGTTGTGATCCTATCTTTTGGCTTTAAACTCCTCCCCCTCTCTTTGGGGTACAATAACTAAAATGTTTTGGGTATTTGACCCACCACCTATGAAGAGCGGCATTTGATTTTAACTCCTTTTCCTTTTTTTTTGTTTTTTTTTTCTTTCCATTTTTGTTGTGCTTTAAGTTTTTTTTTGGTAAGGGTTTTTTAAAATGGCAGAAGGTTTCACTGTCACATGGTTGCAAGCTAACCTGTCCTTTTCTTCTGGGCTTTTGCTGTTTGATCTTCATGTAGAGTCTAACTGGAATTTGAGTGACGGACAGGGAAACAAAAAAGCAGTTTGGTTTTATTTTTTTCTTGTATCGACCTTGGAAGCAAAGAGGGGGAAAGAACAATGAAGTGTTTTATTTTCTTCCACAAAGCTATGCCTTGGTGATGAAGTAAACTTTGGATTGATGAAAACATTTCCATCTGTTGCAATGAAACACCAGACTTGTCTAAATGAATAATAAACATAGACCTACATTATATCCTTTACACTTTTTCTCTTTTGACTAATTATTTTTATTTTTTTCCCTCTTGAGCCTCTCTGCACTCTTTAATTTAGGTTTTGGTTTTCCTCAGAATTTCTGGAAACACACACGTCAGTTTCCAGAACAGATTTCTGGAAAGCAAAGTCTCACTTTTACCCTCAACAGTTGAGCAAACTTTGAACTTACAGTTATTACAGAACCCTTGTACTCAAGAGTTGAATGCATGGTGTGGAGTTCACCCAGTTTCTCGTCAATTCACCTATTCCCGCTGCTATACGATGTTTAACTGTTGCTGAATGTCTGCTTTTTGAATTTAGCCTATGATTAATAAAGCCGTAATAATTCCAAATCTGATTCAGGGTAACCTCTTCTGTTCCGGCTGGTTTCTAGATTTGGGGGGAAAAAATATTAAAACCTGCACCTTTGTTTCCTTTAATCTTTTGACAGTGCTCATAACACTGCTGTCTGTAAACATGCACAGAATACAAATGAACTCTAAATAATGTGGAAAGTGTAGTTTAAATTGGATCTCATATCTATTGGATTGATTTAGTCTTTGACGGTTTCATTAAAATTAATTTCTTCACATTTTGCTTCAAAGGCGACATTTTCTTAGAACTTCTTTAGGTGGTCTTGAGAAATAGTTCCCCAGGCTCTCTGAAGGTCTGGATCCTGGATGCTTCGAGAAGCCTGGAGAGCTGTTCCTGAAGACTACTTAAAGTATATCACAAGAATGCTCCCTAATAGTTTAGACGAAGAATAGGAAGACTGTTACAACTGCACTGTTTTTCCTCTTTATATATTTGCACATTTCAACTAACTGCTGCACCCACTTCCAAGTTTTTCAAGCATAATGTAAAGAAATGAAGGGTGGCTAGAGACCTTTTGCGCAGCACTTTACATCAATCAGTATACTTTTCATTAAAAATGCAGGCATGTGCGTAGTGGTGTAAGATGGTAAGTCCCCAGTCTGATTACTTCCTCTTTTCATGCACAGAGGGTTAAAACTCCAGAAATGTATTTAAGAACACTTTTATAAAAGTTTGCAGCTTTAAAGCAGAGCTCTGAGAATTTATGGTTGAATAATTGTGGATCACATGTGAAGTGTTGTTGCATTAATGCACACTAGAGGGTGACATTGATTATGACACTAAAGTGCAAGATATGGAAGTCGAACCTTTCGGGGCTCAATACAGAATCATAATTTAATCATTTACATTTTGAAAGTGCCGGAGCAAACAAAATAAAGAAATGTATATATTTAATCCATTTTTTTAGAAAACAAAACAAGCAGCACATGATGGGAAAACATGTCATTTTACTTAAAATTGCACAGGAAAGCACATTGCACTTTTCACTTATGGCTTTCAGCAACAAATTTTATACATGACTGACAATATCTTAAACATTTACAAAATATGCATTGGCATAAAATTAACTTTTACCCTTTATACAAAGGAATATGACTTTCAGTTTAATAAAACTGTAATAACATGATCTTAAAGTTCTAAGAAGTACTTAGATTTAAGGCATAACATGCACAGTTCTAGGGCCTGTGCAATGACCAATAGGATCACGGTGCAGGTAGTCACAGTTAATGAGAACTCCCATCTTTTCCACCATTTGTGCTTAAGAAGACATTTGGAGAAAAAAGTTTATAAAAATGCCTAGATTTTGTTTTCCTCTTCGTATTTCAACCCTCTTTCGGTGCACTTCTTACTGGCAACACAAAGGCGACACATCCTCAGAAGGTGAGGGGAACAGCCTCATGGCCTCTCTGGAGGATTTGGTGTAGCCATTATGGAAAATGAAGGCCTTCTTCACTGTGAAAAAGGAGACAGTCTTGTCCCACACGTCAGAGCTGCTCATTCCAGTGCTTAGATGGCTCTCTAACGTGGAGCGGAGCCTCACTGCTCTGTCTGTGCACTTCCTTTCCAAAATCATCATCTTACACAGGCTGTGGAAGGAGATGGAGAAACATCAAATTAATGGTAGATGCAGAGAAATGGGTTGTTTCCAGGAGAAAATACCAGCATGCTTAAATATTGACGGCACATGTAGAAATGGTTTTGGTAACATTCATTCAACATAAAAAAAAAAAAAAAGGAAAAACTTTCAATCACTTTTGAGTCAAATTCACAGATAGTGGAAGAAACATTGCTGTGATGCCTGTTCAAAACTAGGATCAAGCCTAGGATGATCTACAATGAAGTTTCTTGTATTCGAGCTTACGTTGTGTGTTGATCCCTCATGGCGAATATGCAGTCGGATGGCGTCCCGTGAGTCCAGGCCCGTGTGGGTTACAAGAAAACGTTCAGGGTTATGATTTTACCCACAGAGACCTCCCTCATTTATATACTTATGCCAACTTTCCCACTGATTTAATGTGATGTTGGTTCTCACAGTGTTTGGCCAATCACAAAGCAGCATTATGACAATAGGATGTGAATGAATTAGTTGAATTCATTGGGGTACAATGGCCCCAATCCAAACAAACAGGTGGGAGGGGCCCATTGCTTGCCCCTTGTTGAGGGAGATTTCCTTGTTATTGTATCCACTGGGATGATATGTGGTGGGAACGTGGAGGACAACATCTGTCTGAGGACGTTCTTCCTGGAGGAGAAAGTCGTCCATTGGTGGGCAGAGTTTCCAGATAGGCAACCTAAATATTTAGATACATTTTTGGAAATGTGATCTATGTGAGGGCAACAAAAAGCATCATCACAGACTGGATCTGCATCTAAGTGTTGTTAGTACCTGTTATATTAGTCTTTAATATAGAATAATCCCTTTTCTGTTGCAACAAGCTGAGAAAGTGAAGTGGTTTTCACTTTTTTCTCAATTTCTTAAACTTTTCGTGTCAAACAGTGTAAGAGTTTTGCACCTTTTTATTCACAGATTCTTAAAAAAAGTTCATCATCCTATCCAGAAAGTTTCCCACCCTCCACACACACACTCCCTATTCTTCTTATTTAACTTTCTGTCTCTATTTCAGCCTCTCCAATTCTCACGGTAAACATCTCCCGCGCTTGATCGGCCGACAATGGCATACAATCCATCCAGATGGTGTGCCTGGAAGCCCTGTTGACAGCCCTGTTTTCCTGGGTGTGTGCGTGCATGTGTTGTTAGTGGGGCTTGAAGGGGGGGTTGGTCACTCAATCTTTGTGCAATGGGGCACACTTCCTTTGTGCAGGCGGCCTCAGAGTCATTAAACACTGAAGTGTGGGAAGCCTGGGACCACAGCGGCTCCCACGTTCCACACAGGCAGGAAGGGAGCGTGTGACTGAGACGTGGCCAGCGGCATGCAGGTCAGCCAGCTGTGTGGGTGTGTGAGTGTGTGTGTGGGGTAGGGAAAGTGAATGAGAGTGTGGCTGTCTGCATGAGTTTGTGGGGGGTTGCCTGATGTGTCAGCATGTGCTGGGAGCGTGAAAGCTTAAAGCTGAAGCACTTTACAATTCACACACAGCTCTAATCACGTTCATCAGATTAAAGCTGACAAACTGAAAACCAAACGTGTCGCTAATGAGTTATAACAGGCAAATTTTGAATGGCAGTACTTTTTTGTAACTGAGAGAGTACACTTTGCATCAGCTCTACAGTCTTTAGATGTCACACAAATCTCTATGAAAATGCTTGAGATTGGTGAACGTAATGAAAATTAGCTGCGATTAATCACTAATACTTCAGCTTCATCAGGGCTGGATATTGTGAGAGTAATTTGGTCAGATTATACAGCTGTCTCTCAAGAATTGTACTAAACCTTGAATGAGGAAACACCTTATAAACATATAACAGTTTAATCAGATTATCTGAAAAAAGGGTTAAATATTCATAGTCTAAATATTCTCTTTTCTTTTTCAGCTGAATAGGTTTGAGTTGCAAATCTGTTGCTTTCTTTCTCTTTGAATCTTTGAGGAACCTCAACCTGTTGCACAGCTCTGAAAGTCTGCCATTTCACACTGGTGGAAGTGGCTGCATGTTGGTCTTTCTCTAATGCTTGGCCCTCTGTAACACCCACGTGTGCCTGGTGGCAGAGGCACTTTGTCTTCAATTACGTGGCGGTGAAGATGACATGAGACAGCGGCATGCTTCCCTCTGGGGTCACCACTTTCCCATATCAGCACAAGCACCGGGTCAGTCTCCCATCTACCCCCACTCAGCCCCCCTCCCTCTGCCCACTCCACCCCGGGCTTTCTCTTGCAGTCTATTCCTCCACCTGCTCCCCAGAGACACACTCATTGTCCCCACGGCTATAAACACTTCATTGAGCATGTGGCAGCCCTGCTTTCCTCAAAGCCCTTCCCAGCACTCCCATTGGCCCGGGGACTGTGAGAAACTCCATCAAGCCTAAGACTCACACATTCATATGGAGATTTGGGTGTATAAATACAGGGCAGTGGCAGAGGAGAGGAGAACGCAGCTCAGATCCAACCAGCTCTTCAATCCGAGTAGAGACCCTGACTCCACAGCAATGGCTCCCTCTGTTTTTGGACAAGCAAACAAGGAACACCTGACCCCTGCTCACAAGGTAAATACTTTTTTCAGAAAAGTCTCATAACTGGATTTGTCTTGGTACAAATAATTCAATTAAAAGCAATGTTCAATTTGATTAAAATACCTTTTTTTTCTCCTTCTTTTCTTCAGCTGAGAAAGCCAATGGTAGAGAAACTACGCAGAGACCGCATCAACACCAGCATCGAGCAGCTGAAATCCCTGCTGGGGCCCGAGTTCCTCAGGCAGCAGCCTGACTCCAAGCAGGAGAAGGCTGACATCCTGGAGATGGCTGTGTCATATCTGAGAAACTGGCACCAGCAGCAGAAGCAGGCCGGCTTGACCTCTAGCCCGATGGTGGCTAGCGACGGTTACTCCCACTGCGTGCAGGAGGCTGTCAGCTTCCTGTCCCACTGCCAGGTCCAGACTCAAGCCCACAGGCTGCTACTCAGCCACTTTCACGGCCTGCAGGCGTCCAGCGGGACCAGTCACAGTCCCTGCAACCTCCCCTCCCCTCCTGGCTCCCCACTCCATCAGGTCAGCTCCAGCAAGGGCGTAAGCCAGGTCAGCTGTGCTCTGTGGAGGCCCTGGTAACATGGAGGCGGGATCACCTGTGAACCGAGAGAGAACTACGTCTGTGAACGTCATGGACAGAGAGTTAAGGACTTATAGAGAAGTCTGCTTTCTTCTGCTTTAGCAGAAGATTCAATACTGTCAAGTGTTTTATTTTGTGGTGAAATCAGCACGATGTGCCGGTACCCCTTTGGAAGGACTGAAATGATTTAGTGTATTATATATGATACACGCTTTATTATTTGGAGTGCTCATTCTGTGAATGCGTTAATTGTCCCTGTGGGAAAACT